CAGCAGTCTTAATGTAAATCATTTGGAAGTTTACATCCTTTACATTTTATCAACTCAATTGGACTAACTATATATTATATTTTATATCATAATTTACTAAACACACAAGCCTGACTACTGTGTATTTACTGTCATATGAATACCATCAAAGTGTTTATTAAATATGTAACACATAGACACTATTATGTTGAATAAAACATATACACCGGGGTTTGGAATAAACAGTTACAGCATCCCCAATAACAATCCTTTTCCCCTTTTCACTCTTGGCAATAGACTTGGAAAACTAGTGACCCATTGGGCAATGGACTGTTTGCCAATAGAGTAAAGTGGACGATTATGTTTCAACCGTATAGTCATGAAATCTGATCTGTTTGTATACTAACTCAAGTATATGGGCATTATGGACTCCTATCCAAGATAAAAAAAATAATATGTATTATATTTTCCAATGAAAAAATTAATGTACTGTAGATAGTATGTCAGTAACTGGGGACATAATAAAACGATTATAATGATAGTGATATTTTTGGAGCACCCTGTATGTACTTTGACTACTATTATGTAATCCCTTTTCCTTTCCATATGTAATCCCTTTTCCTTTCCATGTTGACATCACAGTGATCTTAAGACAATAATTTGTTCATTTGAGCAGGTTACATGTGAGACAGTCAATTAAATGATTGTCCAGGCCAAGACTGCAGGGCATTTACTGCAGGGCCTAATTAACTGTGCTTCAAAGTGAGATATCTAATTGAATTTTGGTGAGGTCTTGAAAAAACATCCAAATTGTTGTGTGAAGTGTATTTCTTGTATTTCTACATATGTGCATTCTCCGATGGTTAACCACTTTGTTTTTCAGATTACAACATTATATTTAATCAATAATACCATGTATGATGTTCAAAAACGAAAAAAATGTAAAAACAACACTTTATTTGTTTCTTTTCAAGTACATCAGAGTTGTTGCTTGGGTGTCCCCATTTTTAAAACCTTTTCCAGATATCCTTGAAAATCCAAGGATTATTTTGAGATTTTGGACTTTGATATGATGGCATGGGATGATAGGAGCAAAACAATGAAAAACAAGGCAAAATGTCACTACCTGCCATTTGTTACAGATGTTAAACACCAACCGTCGTAGACAAAAAATTGAGGACTACAACAATATGTCACCACTTGTGGAGGTGACATAAAAACCCATGGTTAGTTTTCTTTCACTTGACTTGTCACAATCCTATCATGATAGTTAGTGATTTCTGCATACACATACTGGAGTAGAACCTATGCATGTACATGTATGTGTGTATTTTACCAATTTCTGAAAAAACTATGTTACAAAGCTTGCATGTAAGCTTATTAATATTATTTTGGTCATTTCCCAAGTGCCCTGAGTGAACTGGAGTACATCTTAACTTGCCTCTTGATAATTAAAGGCCATTCAGTCCATCATGCATTTGAAAATTGTTTACCTTTCTAGCATCCAAAAATTAAATGTGAAAAGGATTGAACTATATTTAAATATTCATTGCTATGAAAGATTTTCCTAAAATCAAGTTTACAATAAAAATAGAATGTTGCTATATTTCTTTTTAATTTCATTTCAGCTACATTTCACCTTTATTTTAAAAAGGTTGCAAAATTTATGAAAATTAGGTAAACATTTTTGACAAGGCATTAACATGACAAAATGTCACCACCTAAAACAATTTGGTCAATTTAAAGCAAGGTGGAAAATACCTTTTGACCTTAAGAAGGTTTTTGAAGATTTAAGCTTCTGGGATCTTGTAGATGATTTTGAAAAAAGAAATTGTTCAATCTGAAGCAAGTTGAAAAAATACCTCTTTGACTTTTTTTGACATTGAGAAGGTCATTGAAGGTCAAATGTCAAATGTAAAGTCAGATTTGAACTTCTGAGAACATGTAGATGATTTTGAAAAAAAAATTAAGTAAATTTGAAGCAAGTTGAAAAAAGACCTTTTTGACCTTGAAAAGGTCATTGAAGGTCAAATGTCAAATCTAAAGTCAGATTTGAACTTCTGAGAACATGTAGATGATTTTGAAAAAAAATTAGTCAATTTGAAGCAAGTTGAAAAAAGACCTTTTTGACCTTGAGAAGGTCATTGAAGGTCAAAGGTCAAATCTAAAGTCAGATTTGAACTTCTGAGAACTTGTAAAGTCAAATTTGAACTTCTGAAAAGATGTAGATGATTTTGAAAAAAAAATTTGGTCAATTTGAAGCAAGTTGAAACAGACCTTTTTGACCTTTTTTGACCTTGAGAAGGTCATTAAAGGTCAAATGTCAAATCTAAAGTCAGATTTGAATTTCTGAGAACATGTAGATGATTTTGAAAAAAAAAATTAGTCAATTTGAAGCAAGTTGAAAAAAGACCTTTTTGACCTTTTTTGACCTTGAGAAGGTCATTGAAGGTCAAATGTCAAATCTAAAGTCATATTTGAATTTCTGAGAACATGTAGATGATTTTGAAAAAAAAATTTAGTCAATTTGAAGCAAGATGAAAAAATACCTTTTTGACCTTTTTTGACATTGAGAAGGTCATTGAAAGTCAAATGTCAAATCTAAAGTTGAATTTCTGAGAACATGTAGAAAAAAAAATTTAGTCAATTTGAAGCAAGTTGAAAAAATACCTTTTTGACCTTTTTTGACTTTGAGAAGGTCATTGAAGGTCAAATGTCAAATGTTAAGTCAAATCTAAAGTCAGATTTGAATTTCTGAGAACACGTAGATGATTTTGAATTTTTTTTTAGTCAATTTGAAGCAAGTTGAAAACAGACCTTTTTGACCTTTTTTGACCTTGAGAAGGTCATTGAAGGTCAAATGTCAAATCTAAAGTCATATTTGAATTTCTGAGAACATGTAGATGATTTTGAAAAAAAAATTTAGTCAATTTGAAGCAAGATGAAAAAATACCTTTTTTGACATTGAGAAGGTCATTGAAAGTTAAATTGTTAAATCTAAAGTCAGATTTGAATTTCTGAGAACATGTAGAAAAAAAAATTTAGTCAATTTGAAGCAAGTTGAAAAAATACCTTTTTGACCTTTTTCGACTTTGAGAAGGTCATTGAAGGTCAAATGTCAAATCTTAAGTCAAATCTAAAGTCAGATTTGAATTTCTGAGAACACGTAGATGATTTTGAAATTTTTTTTAGTCAATTTGAAGCAAGTTGAAAACAGACCTTTTTGACCTTTTTTGACCTTGAGAAGGTCATTGAAGGTCAAAAAAAAATCTTAAGTCAGATTTGAATTTCTGAGAACACGTAGATGATTTTGAAAAAAAAATTTAGTCAATTTGAAGCAAGTTGAAAACAGACCTTTTTTACCTTTTTTGACCTTGAGAAGGTCATTGACGGTCAAATGTCAAATCTAAAGTCAGATTTGAAGGTCAAATGTCAAATCTAAAGTCAAATCTAAAGTCAGATTTGAATTTCTGAGAACATGTAGATGATTTTGAAAAAAAATTTAGTCAATGTGAAGCAAGTTGAAAAAAGACCTTTTTGACCTTAAGAAGGTCATTGAAGGTCAAATGTCAAATCTAAAGTCAGATTTGAACTTCTTAGAACAAGTAGATGATTTAGAAAAAAATTGAAGTCAGTCTAAACAGTATTTGTTAAGTTATAGGAAGTTGTAAGAAATTGTTACAGACGCCAACCTCCAACCGCCGGACGCCAACCTCCAACCGCCGTCGCAAAAAAACGGAGACCATAACAATATGTCACCACTTTTGGTGGTGACATAAAAATCATCCATGGATTGTTACAGAGTCATCTGATCTGGACAATAGTATAAACCTGGTGGCTGGGTCCTATTTCTATTTGGCTAAGAAATGGCTAATCATTTCATAAATGGAGTATAATCTGCAGATTTAAACCATTTTAAACCATTTTGCATCAGATATGACACTATAAATAAAGATCTATATACATGGACGTAAATTCATGCAGAAGATATGACACTGTTCATAAGAGCTTATAAGATGAAGAAGGAGCTTATGAGTGACACTGATCCTGCTAAAAACAACAATACATTTGATCTCGCCCAATGCCCATCCATATATGCCTGTCTGTATTTTTGTTTTATGTTAAAGTTCATGTTATATTATTGAATATTTCTTAGCAGAGTATAAATGTATTGGCATAACTGTGAAAAAACTGAGGGGGGGGGGGTGTTTAATTAGGCCCCTCCAAATCCAATCCCATATACCTCCTTCCTCCTCAACATTATCATTCTCAATTAAAGATTGCAAGCAGCATTTAAAATTTCTAATCAATGTGTTTTTACCATTTCAAATTCTATTATGTATTCTTTACAATAACTGTTATACAATATTACATGGTAAGGATGAGATGCCTATATAAGACCTAAGACCTCTACAGAAGGAATGATATCAGAATAAGTCACAATTTAAAGAAAAATCTCTCCTTATCTCTGGTTTTGCCTTTAAGTCCATTTGCAAATACAGTCAAAAGTCAAATTACATAAAGCACACAAAACCCACATTTTTGCCTGATTACATCTAATGAATATGATTTTTCAACTGAATGTTCATAAATTATCAAGAACGAACTACTTTGAGATAAATATTTTCATCTTGAATTTTCCTAATTTATCCTAATTTAAATGCTGAACTTTCAAAACATTAACAATTTTACAATAGTGCTTACAAGTTAATTGTACAAATAAAAAGGTTACTTGTTATGAAAAATAAGTTTATTTATACAACACAGAATGCTTATATAAGTGTTTTCTCCAGTGGGGCAATGTTCTCATTTCCCAATTTATGCCAAAATATGCCAAATTTCAGGTGGGTGCAAATGGTTTTAGGTGGGTGCAAATGGTTTTAGGTGGGTGCAAATAGTTTTAGGTGGGTGCAAATGGTTTTTGGTGGGTGCAAGCTGACTGGGAATGAGCATCCACCATTGCTTCAATGCTGGGGAGATCACTACAATGTGAATTTTTGTTATACATATACACTACTTACCAAGGGCATTCAGTAACAGTTCCTGGGACTGTGCCTGTCCAAGTATGACCATGACACCTTCCACCCCTCTGGCATGTAGAGAACTTGGAATGGCCCCCAAGGATTCACTTGAGTAAATATGGACCAGAATAAAACAGAGGGATGACTGGATGGTCTCATCAGGGTAGGAGAGGCCAGTGTAGATGTAGTCAATGAAGCTTCCTAATTAAAATAAATTGAGTAAATTCAAACAAAATTGATTCTGCAGGCAACATGTAGATGGGTAGACAGTAAATTTCAGAGGTGGTTCTGGGAACTGAAAAGGGGAGACCAAAAATTGGTTCCTTTATTGAGAATAAGAACCTTTTTAATTAAAAATTAAGGCCTATAAAATGAATTTACAAGTAGAAAACCTATTTTTCCAAATTGGCCTTTTTGGATATAGATACATTTTTGACATTTCATTCTGTTACATGGTCCATAGGCAGGGAGGGCACAAAAAAAACAAATAATAATAAATTATCTTTTTTAGGAAATTTAGAAAATTCTTCAGCCCATTTTTAAAAAATTTGACCTCATTGAGTCCATCTGAGGGGAATCCTCCCAAGTTATGTCACAGATATTGGAATTCTATAATTTATTTCTCAAATGTTGCCCTTTGTGCATTCTAGGTATTCTCATCATGGAATGAATGAATTCAAAATTCCTGATCATTATCTAACAGGGATATGCAACAACTCCCCATCAAGGCATATTGCATTAAATAGAGCCAAGATGGAGTATATATAGATATGAATATGGATTATATAGGATAAGCCAGCTTTGGAATAACTTATCTTCCTCGGCTTCATTTTCACCTACATATATCAGTACCACCTGTGTAGTTCATCCTCTCATACATAGCTTGCATTATACATGAAGGGATAAGAATTTGGGATCCCTTAGAAAAAACATATGCAGCCAGTAGCATGATTTCTAATAATATTCTAGATAAAAGGTTTAATTTATTGTTGAAATGAGAACATTAAGTAATTTTATACATAGTAAACAGACTAAGCCTTTTTATAAATGATTGAGGAATATGAGTGAAATATAATATTATTTTTTGGGCTGGAAAGACATACTAAATATGGCATCAGCCCAGGTACGGAACATGGTGAAGATCAGAACTACAAGTTGTACTCCATACAGTTTCCTTCAAGACAATCATTTTGATCGATTGAACACATGTAACAAATCAATGTTCAGTTGCCCTTTACTATTACATAGGTACATACTACAGTACATAGGTATGTAACTCCAAGTTTAATTCTATTTTCTCCAAGCTCATATAATCTGAAGGCACTTAAAATGAGCAGCTTAAAAGGCCATGTCATTTATACATTACTGAAAACTCTCCTCCACTACCCTTGGCAAGAAATGCATCTTAACTTTTTTAAATTGTAATAATTATATGATCCAATCGTAATCTGGAATCATAGAGAGAATCACTTTACTACACTTTTTGCCTCAGATTTCTTCCATACATTTCACTCATAAACTCAAATAAGAGGCCAATGGAAGATCCATTTGAGACCATCAGGATGTTATCAGTATCCATACTGTAGAATATTGAAAGTTGCCAAAGGTGGTGTTGCTCTAAATGTAGATTCAGTGTATTTTTGATATTGACGAGATTACTGATTTACGTCAATATAAGCACTCGGGGACAACAGTGACACGTGACAATTTGTCATAACTATACACTTTACAATCATATTTGATTTGTTCATTTGTGAATGATAAAAAATGCACATGATTTAAGAATAATTATTCATCTTTTATGCACACCTGATTATCAGATTGATTGTTTGGCAAAACAAAAGACATAAATTATACTATTTCTTGTAAAACTGTTCATTTTAGCCCTAAAAAGAGGTTTATGATAAAAAAAGCCATCATTTTTGGTAAACTTGCCCTTTTGAGGCTTTTGAAACTAAGGCCTTACTTTCTGACAAAAATATGGACTGAAATTTTCAAAAAGGGCAAAAATCAGAGAATTCTAAAAGTTCCCCAATTTGGTCAAATTCCAGTTTTGTACTTGCTTCAAATCTCTTTCCACCCCATCCCTTCTCTAGTCAATCATGCAAGGTTGTGGAAAAATATATAATCAGCAGAAACTAGACTCTAGGAAAGCCTACTATACATATATGAAGTTAAAGGTAAGAACATGTGGCTCAAGCACAGCTGGGCAGCCGAAAATATCATGGAACTTGATACTGCACTTGCTTGGCATTATCAGATACAGGAAGCCTCTCATTGATAAATACTATAGGTGAATTCACATGTGTTCATTCATTCATATTACATGTATCTTTATTCATTCAAATAAATGAAGGCATTCTTAATTTACCAGGTTTTTATTTTTCAAAAAGGCAGAATTTTGGCTCATTAGTTAGAAGTAATTAGTGTTTATGGATGGAGATATTTTCAAATGGGCATATCAAACTGGTTATGGTCAGGTGATATCAAGACACTATATTACATTTTTCATTATGCGAAGCTAAAGTTATTTTTTGCCATGTATTGTTTATGCTGTTTTGAAGTTGGGGATTATCCTCGAGAATTATTTTGTTTATCATTCAGGGTTGCGCTTTTGTGGTTTTCCGATACACAAGTATTTTGGACCAAAGGCTGAAAACATTCTGAAACCTGACTCCAAGTATGTAATCTTTTCCTATACCTGAACACCTGAATATGGGGAGACTCTGTCCCATAATGCAAACTCAGTAAATGCAATAGCTTAGACACATACTAATGCAATTGAAGTATTCTGGGTAACCTGTACTCCAGTGAATTCTAAAGTGCATGATGAATGTGTGTCTATTGCTGCTTATAAGATGCCTTGGAGATGGTATTTTAAGTAAAAGGACAGGTGTCTGACCACCTTTCATAACCAGTACCCATACCTTAATAAAGAAGCAGATTCATTATATTCAAGCAAATGGAAAATATTTATAAGAATCTGAATAATTTTGATATGAAACTTGCAGGATACTAAATATTTTTCTTATCGCATCAAATGTAACGCCCAAAAACATGATATTCCGCTATCACGATGATGCAATCAACAGAAAAGCCAAAGAAGGTTGGAACATCAGATATACCTGGTCTACATAGGTTAACATAAGTATGTGTTGCATACATGTCTATACTTCATACAAGGGGCTTGTCTCAAAATTAGGTTCTTTAAAATTTTTTTAAAAATCTCATGAGTTTCTTGATTTAAGGAAACACCCCCGGGGAAACAGCCTAGCAATGCAGGCCATAACCAGGGGGGAGTGGGAGGAGTGGCTGCTCTCCCCCTTGCAGGCCTACAATTGAATCACTCGCAATCGGGTTAGGGTTTATGCAAAGTAATGAATACTAAAACACTATATGGTCTAAGCAACTCAAAGATATGTTTGGTAAGGATAGAAATATTGAAGTGATACTGACACATCCCCCAGATATTTCATGTGAAGGCTGGAAAAGTTGGGAAAGGTTTGCTACCAATATTGGATGTCTAAAGTGACCTTCTTCCAACCTTGTGCAGGGAACTGTTCTATAACATTATTTTTGTGATTTGCATCCAAAGGTATCTAAGAAACATATGCTTTATACTCATGAAACAACTTTAACTCTCAGCAGCATTTAGAATTTCAGATTCTGATTGACCCCCTCCCTCGCCTGAAGAAATACTGCCTATACATAGGCGTAGCCAGGGGGGTGCGATTTTTGTTTGTTTGAAGCTTCTAGCTCAATTTTGAAGGAAATTGCATCAATCAATTGCAAAATTCAAGATAAATAGTCATTTTTTGGCTTGTTAATGCCATAATCGCACCCCCCGACTGAAAACCGATGCAATCGCACCCCCCCTGACTGAAAGCTGGATACGCCCCTGCTATATGTTGTATAAGGCTCATAAAACAACTTCTTCTTTCTCACCTATCCAGGACAAACACATTAATTTTACTCAAGGGCCTACTTGAAACCAGCAAAGGAAAATTTCGAATCTATTAACAGACATGTAGAAAAGCTAACACCAGATAAATGGCAAAGGGTGAAGCAACAACTGCTGCATTTTTCTATGAAGGCCTTGGATTAGTTCAATCAAGTTGCGTCTTGGGGTTAAATCATCCAGAATCCTTCTCATGATTTTTTCTTAATTCTGTGCAAAATTAGTCATTCATATTAAAGGTTAAATATAAAAAGATATGTACTTGCTTAATATGGATAATTAGCTTGAAAATAGCGACTCCCTAGAATAGTAAATCACACTGAAGTTTTGAACATAACATAATACTATAGAAACAACACATCTCAATGTGACCCTTAGCGACCAATGATAAGATGGCCTGAGGTCAATGTCAATGTTCATGGGTCAAGGTCATCTCAAGGTCAATATCTAAGTATTGGTGTTTTTGGACCTTGGGGGCTGCTGTGACCCTTGGGAACCCATGATTAGGTGACCTGAAGTCAAGGTCTTTCCTACATCAAAGGTCAATATCTAGGTTTTTGGTGATTTAAGGTCCTTGGGGCTGCTGTGACCTTTGGTGATTCATGACTAAGTGACCTGAGGTCAAGGTCAATATTTATGGTCAAGGTTAGCTCAAGCGTCAATATCTAAGTATTTGGTAAATTCTTTCCACATCAGAGGTCCTACACCCATAAGGCAAAGGCCTACAAAATTTGAACCAAATCTGTGTGCCAGTATTCGAGTTTTTACCAAGATACACAAACGAACTAACAGACTGACAAATTGATGGAACAAACAAAAGGACGAATGGACAGCTTGTCTATATTCCTATGAACTTCATTTTGTGGGATCATAAAATTATGCCAAAAAATCTAAAGGTTGCTGAGAACTAAAACTGCGTAATTATCTCCTTTAGATTAACAAACTACTTGAACTTAGGTTTTCTGCCGAAAGTGCAAGAAGTCAGCAATTACAATGAACGTAAATCAGATTTCTTTTTTATGACGTATGATAAAAATAATTAATTCCCCCAAGATACCATTAACTTTATACCTTATACACATTGGAAATCTCAAATCTGAGTAGGTTTCTTTACATTTTTATGAAGATGTTTAAGACCATCAGCCTAGACCAGCCTAGTTATGCAAACATATAGAAATTAGTTTCATGGTTTCTGCAAGAAATAATAATTAATAATAGTCCTTTTTCTCTTTTTTTGTCCAGACTTATTCTATACTTTATATAACCTTTATAAAGATTGAAATGTATATCATATTTCTGGATAAATGTTATGTATGATACAAAACAATGCAACACAAGTTACAATACAAACCAATACAATGCAATACATGTGCAGAACAATACAACGCATTCCCATGCAAAATGTCACCACTTGCCCTTTGTTACAGAGACCGAACACCAACCCACTCACCGACTTCACAAAAAAGTTGGAGGACATAACAATGTTACCACTTTTGCTGGTGACATACAAATACAATGCAATGTAAAACAACTGTAAAGAATTTTTAAATTCAGATTTCAAAAATTCAATTCATTACTTTCTGGACAGGTTGCACAACTGAGTGCTAGTAAGTATGTACATGTATGTAATAGTAAGAGTTGGTAAACATTCTTATAAGGGAACAACAAAAAACATACTTGGCAGCAAATAGATTTTGCTTTCAATTAATATTTGAATGGGAATAATTGATAATTGTGATTTTAAAACATGGTGATCACAGAGTGCAGGTGCAATTATCAACTTTCTTCATGTTTTTAAGTTGACTAGGTTTTTAAACACAAATTAGATTGATGACTAGCTGGCTGAATATTCTTTCTGAGAACCTACTCTTAATTTCCGTCCAAGTCTCTTACCATAACTCTCAACCATTTGAGATGCTAAGGGTGCGATGCTACTTAACATTCTACCCGCTAGATTGAAGTAGGAAACACTTTTGCTGAAGTTGCATAGCTTTAAACACTGAAACACAAATTATATACAATGTTATATTGTGAACTTTCCATGTAAATGTTTTATTGTGTACACTTTTATTCTTATGGTTTTCTTTGAAGTTTCTAACGATAAAATTTTTTACTGGCATTTGGTTTAATGCAATTTTTTTGTCTCATTTTATCTGGAATAATATACAATCTGTGTTAGCTTTAGAGGTAGACAGTATAAATGATATATTTTTACTTTAAGGGGTAATAAGGACTGTCGAGAAAATAGGAAAGTTTTTTCATTTTTTCAGAGCTATCAAGGCAACATTTGGTTTAACATCTCCTTTGACATACCTATTTTCTTAAAATGTATGGATAAATTATCAATTTTAGCATTAAGAAGTGAAAATTCAGTTCAAAGCTTCAAAAAGGGGACTTCCACTTTTATATTTTTAAGATCCACCATGTTTCAAGAGGAATATCAGCTAATATAATGTTTATCTAGGGGGTTTCTTTGTAGATAATAAAAATAGATGTTAGTCTTGATGAAATATCCAAACTTAAATATATTTTGACACTGGTCCATGATCGTTGAATGACCCCTCTGCACTAATTATTGCACCTTTTATAAAAAAGAAATGAAAAATGACTGCATTACTAAAAAAACATCTATCAATTTCAAATTCTGTAAAGGCCCCATATAAAGTCTAAACCACTTTTATATGACTTTATAAGTCATGCCAATTAGTAAATAAATGAATGATAACAATAAAACATATTTTCAAACTTTGCATAAGGCCTTTAAGAATGGAAAAGTAACTACGTGTGAGATATATTAGCCTAGGGTAATAATATGTTAAAGCATAATTATAGTAAAACCAGTCAAAGTGGAACATCTTTGGTCCCTTTAAAATGTGTTCCACTTTGGAGGTGTTACACTTGTTAGTTTGTCTTTGGACTCTTAAAAGTGTTCCACTTGTAGATGTGCTCCACTTTACGGGTTTCACTGTACTGCATGTGACTAACCTGTTGTGTTATAACATCTAGGACATAGCAAACCAGATCTTCAGATTTAACTTGAAGCACTAGTTGTAATACAACTGGAAGATAAAAAAGTATTGCATGAAGTTCCTTGTGGCTCGCACAATCAAATTAAATCTAACATTTTAGAACTGAGTGTTTTCATTACAAGATTGATTGGGACACTATTGATAAAGTGTGTACCTTCTACAGCAACATTACTGATACTGTCATCTGTCACATCCAGCAAACCTAGAAAAAAACATGAAAGATTTTAATTTTTTTTAAATCAAGCATGATATATTTGTGACATCACAATTATTTTTTCACCACGAGGAAATCAACTAAATAGGTTACATAGGTTTATGCCCCTCTCTATCTCAATTTTGTCATAGTCTCCCAAAATGTTGAAGAATAAGTATGGAAAATTCAGGAACTCACAGTAGGCCTACCATATTATAATTACAATCTAGTAAATTGCAAATGCTCAATATTACAGAGTCAACTGACTTTTCTCAATTAAATTTCATACATGTATCTTGCCACCAGGCCCAGATATATACCCCCTCCCTATCATCTAGCTCCCTAACTGGTGTTCATGTAGGAAGATATTAAAACAGGGGGATTAAATAGGGAAAAATATGCAAGACTATATACTGTAGTCTTACATCAAGCTCTTAGCAAGCAAACATGAACAAATGTCAAGGGAATGGGAACAGAGCCTTAATGCAAGACTATTGCACATATAGACATATCTCACCTACAAATGCCATAGTGAAGTGTGCAGCCACTCTAGGGTCATGGTTCATGGACTCAATGACTCCTTCACCATTACTGGTCAACAGGCGAAGAAAGGTCACTATGCCTGGTTTCTTCTTGAGCTACAATAAGTACAAAAAATAATTCTAAAATTACCCTTTTCTCTATGTATCTTCATATTTCAGAACTTTGAGTATCTAACAGGGCCTTTTAATACTTATTAATAATATGTGTAACATTAAATGTAGTTTCCAAATACCACCCTTATCTGAGATTGCCAGCTTGACATCAACCATTGAATTAACAATATATATTTATACTACATTTGACATTAAGTTGACCTCGACAAATATTGAATTCAAATGACCTTGAACTTGACCTGTGAAACATCCAATATACAAAGTCCATGTCATATTGTTGTGCCATGGTTTTAGGGCTAAAAATATGTTTGATAATTTGGTACAATCTTAGTTCTTACGCCATGTTTTTGTTTCTTACCAACACTATGGTAGAGTCTTCCACAATTTCAATGACACAAGCAAGACAAACTGGAATCTGGGATGACGTATCCAGCAATTGCCATCTTTGGTTGTGACTTGAATGTTGTTTTGTTGGTTCAATCATGATCTATATATGGTAATATTTTAGGATCTTAGGAACATTCTAGAAAATACATGGAAAGAATGTGTCAAAATGAATGTTGCCATTTGGTGGATGAGAATGATAGATACAAGAAGGAAAATTGATTCTCAGATCACGGCTAAATGGAGTTGAGCACATGATTTATCCTAAAATGCATAGATGTACCTTATTATGCAAATAGTGCTTTGAAAGTGAACTGAAATTTATTTTATAGTCCATTGTTAAGAATCGACATCCTCCTAAGCAGGTATCCAGAATCTGTACCTCCTTCTTCCCCATCCCTGCTATAACCAATTTGGAAGCGCCTGATTTGACTGAATCACGTGATCTAATTATGATAATGCGCAATGACTTATACATGATTTCTGTCGCAGTGTTGCGACAACCAATCAGATTGCGAGTTCTTAATCAGGGAAATGCTAACTGCTTATCGCAGGGGGTAAAAAGAAAGATATTCTGGATTTTGAAGCCCTGTGATCGGAGGATGCAGAATCTAATGATTGATTTAATTTAATTTCACAGACTCAATGGCAGACATGAGGAGAGCCCATGCTAGGGGCAAAGAAAAATTATGACCCAAAATCTGTTTCTCACATAAATTGGTCGATTTAGGTAACAATCTGGCATTTTAAAAAGATATTGGGCCTAGATTGTGTATCATATTTTTAAGAATTTGGCAAATTCCTTAATCAGGCAGGGCCCATATTTTGCCCCCCCCCCACGGATAGTGGGAAGTCCTTCATCTAGGAGGTATATATAAGTAATATATGGAGGACTTGCCACTATCCGTGCCCCCCCCCCCCCCTTGTTCAACAAGTTAAACCTAGTCTGGGCCTTATTTCTTATCTGACATTTCTTGTGGCCCGCCCTAGGTTTAACATCCGTGCCTATTCGGCCCTTGATGCAAAAGATTTTAATGATGGCCTATGGCAGCGCATAGAATTCTATGCGCGTTTTATTAATAACTGATAGTGAGAATTTGCAACCAATGAAAGCATAGCACGGAAGTTAAACCCAACCTCGGCAACAAGAACACTCAGATTATAAATGAAAGCCGTGGTATTGTGTTTAACTTGTTGAACTACCCCCCCCCCCGATTGATTTTTCAAGCTCATGACTATAGTCAATTTTAATTTTGTTTTGTCATGTGTGTCAATAAAACCTAAAAAATATTTAAGCTAGATGTTGTCTAATGAAACTCAACACGTCAAGTCCAGGAATGGCCAAGATTTGCAAGAAACTCAACTGATTTTGAATTTTAGACTGGCAATCATTTTTAAAACAAGAACTCATCTGGGGGCTTCAAACGGTATTGGACTGAAACCACCATGCAATAAAACAATATGATGCCAAATACCTACATGTATGCTGCATAATCGAACTGAAACTGAATTGATTCGATAAAAAATCGGGCAAAAAATGCAAGCTTGACAAAATCTCTTCAAATTTTCAAGGACTACTTTTTTGAAGAATTCATGACACGCCATAAAAGAAATTTGCTAATTGATATCAGAAGTCATTTGACACCCCTGGCCAAAAGTTCTTTCAAAGTAACGCAATTTTCAAAATTCTGAGCACTTGCAAAGTGATTTTTGGCCACGGTTTTGGGCCTAAGTTGTCAAATAGGAACCCCCTACAATTTTTGGAAAAGTTAGCCCCCGGACAAACCCCAGAGACAAACCCCAGAGACAAACTTCTAAAAAGGAGTGTTCATAGGCTATTCAGTTAATTTAAAGTACATTTACATGTAGGTTCTTGTAACTCGGGCCCCAAACACACTTAAAAGAAAGGCTCAATCACTTATTGTAAAATCACTTGTCATGGTAGTACAATCATGATGCATGCCATCACACTAAAATTACATAATAAACCTTTTTAGGTAGTAATACATTTATGAGCTGCATGCTTTAAAGTTAGATGCAATTATAGGTTATAATGTTGCCCTTGTGCATTTTGTTTTGAGCTTTCATATCTCTTTCTTTTATCAACTCTAATATTGGGGAGAAGAGGATGTGCATTTGAATTTACAATTTCACATACAAATAGCTTTTCTTCATCTGACTTCATCACGGTCTAAAAAGATAATTGTGACAAAACTGGCAAACCCAAGTGTTATTGGTGTATAATTCCATGGGCATTCAATAGAAAGCCCATGATAATTCCAAATACCCCCACCTCACACTCCCCCGCACAAAAGAATGACCATAATAATGATAATACTCCAATATGTATGAAATGTATATGTGTTTTGCCATAGTGTATCATGGATCTTGAAAGCCACGGTAATAGGTATAGGGGAAATTAAGTAGTACGCTTAGTATGTAGAGACAGTTTCTTATATACTTTGCTTACTAAAACTTTTCCTTAGGCCTACATATGCTCATGGGGTAATAGGATAGTTTCTAAATAGCAGAAAAATCAATGAAATCTCGTGCTGCCATCTTTTATTCAGCTTTTAACTCGGGCTAGAGCTCCATTCATTTACATGCTAAAATCTTGGAAAAGTGGCTTAATTTCATGATTTATCAAAGTGTGTTTGTTGAATCTGTATAAAACTTGAATGATATACCACTTGATGACCCTGTTCATGTACATGTTGTGATTAAACATGCAAATGTTGATTGACATACAAATAATCCAAAGATTTAAAGAATTTTAGCATTGCATCTATGGACATTTGGCCCAAGTTTTTTTAAATTGTTATAGAAAATTATTCAAATTACATAACTGTGTAAATCAAAGCTATTATAGGAGAAAACATTTCACTGAATTCAAATATGCCATTTAAAAGAAGGTAATGTAAGTCATTAGAGGTCTAATATGTGAGTCTCTTAAAATCTCACGAAAAACGAGATTTAGCGAGATTTCAAAAGCTATATGGAAACTATACTATTGTGTTGCATGATCTTAAACATAAATGTACAGAACAGGTTGAAAGGATTCCATATCATATTTGCATGAATTGGCTTTGCTCCATGTGCCATTAATACATCAGCATATTATATGACCATCATGCAGCTATAATAATCAATGTATAAACTTAGCCCATGTCTTGCATGGCATATCCTGCAGCATGAGACAGGATTTCTGATTGGTTGAAAGTTTGAGCTTTAACTTTTTCAACCAATAGAAAAAGTTATGACAACCGTGTACTAAGAAGCCGGGTATAAATAAGCGCCGGCATTTCCATTACACTTCAGAACGGCTTTAGAATCAGTAAGTAAAGTGTGTTGGCGTGCAGTGAATACTTTGTAGGATTTATTTCGTGTGCATTATATTACTGAGTCTGCATTATTTGGATCATATCTGCATCCATTAGGATATTTGGATTATCACACTTTGGATTATAGGAGATAATTGTTTAGTTGGTTAAAAGTATATCTATGTATATCAGATAAGTATAACTTTATTTTGTTCAAGCTCAAGAGATTATACACTATTTCATATTTTACAGATCATTGCATGGTAATTCAAAAACTTTTCTCGAAGAGTGTATTTATTTCCGCGGAAGAACATTGCAAATTACTTCAATGTATTTCTCCGCGGAGGTAAGTTTGAAACTTTTTCTTGAAAATATTCGTGACAAGTCTCAGAAGCAAATACCTTTGCAGATAGAGATCTGATTTGAGTTTTGTTTGTTTCCAGAGCTCGTTTCTCTGATAGGCTTTGTATCGGCGTCCAGATTCTATAGAACGTTTTATTTCGAGTGAACATCAAACAAACACAAACATGAGTGGGCTTCCCCCAGGCGATCCGGACTTCGAGTTCCTTGGAGTTGACCGAAAGGCCCTCCTAAAGAGTTTCACTGGCTCCTTCGACAGTAAGAAGAACTGCTGGGTGCCCAATGCCAAAGAAGGCTTCGTCAAGGCCGAGGTGGAGAGCACCAAAGGCGAGGAAGTCACAGTCAGAACTGAGAAAATGGAGGTGAGTAATGGCCTGTGTAAAAATCACCCCCCCCCCCCCACCTCCAAAATACCCGATAATGTCATAATAACATTTGTTGCGTTGATGATTAGTACTCATCTATAATTTGATTCGTAATTAATTATTGCATAAAATATTTACTTGAAAAAGTCAAATCTAGGATATTGCTATCAAAATCAATGAACTGGAACATATTGAACAAGTACACTCAATATCCAATATGGATTACATTTTTCAACAAATGATGAATTAGTTTTGAGTTACATTAAATAGTTTTTAAACTTGAATAGAGTGTGATATAATTCTCCTCTCCATTTTAATAACTTTTATGATTATCTTCCAGACTCTCACTCTGAAGAAGGATGACATCCAACAGATGAATCCCCCAAAATTCGAGATGATTGACGATATGGCCAACTTGACCTTCTTGAATGAAGCTTCTGTCCTCCATAACTTGAGAGCCAGATACACTAAGGGTCTCATCTATGTAAGTTTCAAACTTATCTGATTATAGCAATGTATGGTATTCGTACCAAAGTCAAATTGAGACGAGCATAAGAAACCATTTTCATAATTTTACTCTACAAATTTTTTATACTCTTTTCTGGGTGCCTTTAACATATTGTCCCAATAAGATTCAATTTAGCACAGTATTTGTTATGAGAAGGGTCAGAACCATGGCGTGAAATTGGTACATAGTGTTCAAAATGATACGCTTCTTAGGTGGTACATTTTCATAAATCAATCAAGTGTACAAAAGTGGAACAACTTTTTGGGCCTCATGCAAAAATGAAATGTTTATCCATTTTAAGTGCAATTTCGAAGTCAATAAGTCTCTTTTGCTTATATCAGTGAAAGCAACAAAACTTTATTGCAACTGGTTTAAGAGCTATCTGGTTTCACTCAATGTTTAAAGCTAAATCTCCCATGTCATTCTGTACTTAACTTGGCTAGATATTTTGATCCATTTCGCAAATAAAGAGGCATACAATATACAGCTCAGGTGTAGTTTTACGCTTATTCTTACAAGACGTCAGATTATTGTTTATTTGGCCTCTATTTCTATAATTTTGTAAGACAGGTCATAAGCGCTAAAAGTACAATAGAATTCCACATTATATTGATTCAAAATCATACTATAACCTGTAAAAGAGTGTTTGATTGTGATATACCATTTCAATGACAAGGGGTTCTTTTATTTGATCAGTTAAAGTTTCGACTTCAATTAAAATAAGCCTTGATATCGCGCCAATATTATGCTTTAATAAATCATTGGAGTTTTAAATCTATTATAACAACTTTTTCATGAATATTTCATTGATAACTAAAAACGTCCAAATCTAAAATATCTCGGCATTTAACAGAACAAACATGGCATATATAAAACAACAGTTTCTCAGATTATAGATAGATTGAACACTCCAAACTCTTCTAATTATCTATTAGCTCTTTGAAGTACAAAGTTCAGGCAAAGGTGTATATAGTTAGCTGGCTGAAAGATGATCCTCCAGTTCCTAATTAACTTACCCAGATAATATATATATTTAGCCCCCCTTATATGGATTTTGCATTGCATAAATTAGCCAAAGCCTAAATATAGTTCCCATGTTATGCTATAGGCTCATTATTTCTCATATCTGGCTCAAGTATATGAACAAGGTATGTTAAGCCTTTGGGCAGCCTAAATACTTTTCCCCATCCATATTACTTAGAGAATAAAACCCTTTTTGCTAACTTATCTACTTATTCACTAAACACTATTGAAACAGATGTAATATTAAGGGATTTAGAAAGTTTGATTGCAAACATAGCCTTAAACCTTCTCTCCACCCATATCTTGATGTAAAACTAACTAATCCTTTTAAATATTATGTATCAGAAATTGAAATTCCATTTAGAGATCCAGATTTTCAACATGGAAAATGTCAACATATTACACGATTACATGACCTATAGATTTAGTATCTGGTGAATACAAGACCCATGTTTAAGAAAAAATGTGTTGAATTAAGATTCATATTTCTTTTCATGTATTTCATAGATGAATTATCAATATTTGTGCACTTCTCTGATAGTACCTTTTTGAGCAATGGTCACTTCATGAAAATTCCGTGCAGAATTCAATTCAGGTTCACTTCATCAATATTATTTGAACTGGAGATATGTCAATGCTAGTTTTGTTTTCTAATGTAAATCTACTGTTTGATGTCATAAGGGGGACTATTATATTCAGAGGATTTGTCCCTGGGCATCTTAGGCCCATTAATGTCTATTTTTGGCCTCACATGACTTGCATTATCATCAAAATGGGAATATGGCATGCATACATCAGTCTCTTTAAATTATGCAACTGTGTTTTCAGTACACTGCGCAAAAAATTTTTGACAATTTTCCAATTGATATCTTGTTTATATCAATCAGTTGGTTTTGCATCAAAAGCCAGATAAATAATTACTGTTTGTAGAAATTATTTATTGAATTGCATAAAATTGGATTAGAGATATATGCCAGCTTTGTGACAAATCAACTGTTGATTACTGCCTTTTATCTCAATAATACCACTTGACAAGCTCATAATACATTTGTTCTATAGGACCTCAACTTGCATTTATCAACCTAAGTTCATCATAGCAAAATTAACCCTTCATGATAACTCAGTCATATCACAATATCACAATTCCTAAATCACTTGCTTGATCAATTATTTCCTGTCCATATATTAAACTCTATTTCTGGGTCAACCCTGACATATTTGGAGATATCCCATAATGGAGTAGTCTTATCACTGTTATAAGTCATTGCTCATTCTATACATCAATGGGTCTACCTGAATATATCAGATATGACATATAACATGAAATGAACAACACTATGTAGGTTCGCTTTGTATTGTGTCCTTGGATTTTCGGAAATATAAACAATTTCCCCCCTGGATCTCTACCCCAGAATGCCCTATTAAAATGTATTATGGCTCATTTCTTTCAAAAGTTGACTAGAATCGGTGCTTAAATGCTTTGGATTGGTCTTTTAAGTGGAATTATTTCTTTGAGCTAAATAATGTCATTATGACATTTTGAAGATATCTGAAGTGGATATTTGTTGATAGAAGGCTTAACATACAGTTTTAGTTATTTCATGCCCTCAAAAATAATGCATTGTTTTAACTTAACCGCCCTATGCATATTCTGATAGTATTTGTAATGTAATTGAGTGGCTAAACATTGGCGTGCAACTGTAACTTTAGAATGTGACATATGTGTGATAAATTGAACTTTAATAGCTTTGATAGCCTGATAAATTACATGTTAAAATTCAATTCCAAGTCACAAAACATCAATTGAATTGAATATAGCAGTATCCCCCTGCCCATTTTGAAGTGTATATCAGTATCCCCCTCCCAATTTTGGAGAATTTAACCTTGGTTTCCCTGGATATCATTTTATAACTGTGTAAGATCAAAAGCCTTGACAATTACAGTTGCCTGGTTGAAATAGAGATTGAATCCAATTAAACCAGAATAAAACAAAACATTTGACATTTTCTGCCATTAGCATAAGTGCATTTAAAGGTCTATGTATATACACTGTATAAATAAAATGGGAAATTCTTTAACTGAGTTCTGCTTGCTTGGTGAAATGTAATCAGGATTGTGCCTGGTCTACTGACGTCAGACCCTGTCTGGTATTCATAGCTCACTTTAGCAAGATCCATCAACTATCTTGTTGTTCATGATAAACCTTCTGTAATCGCATATTTTAAGGGCTGGTATGTAGGTTTTCTTCATCATTCATACACCCACATAACTTTGGTTCGGAGATATATCTCAACTGTTTTTGGAGATGTTCAGGATATTAAACCACAAACCATAAAATGCTCCAATTCTCAGATTCAACATTTTGTAGTTCAGAAGCCTTTATGGGCCATTTTCTTTTCAACTTTTATCTCAGGTCTTTCAATTTTGAAGTTATGATCCTCATAAAGTCCAAATGATCAGTGATTATTTTTGTAATAAAGCATTGAGAGTTGAAAATTCTTAATTTAAGTCCATTTTATTGCAAAAGTCATGATTTAACATAAGCAAAAAATCATATAAAAGTTAGTTTTATTTCTTTTGGATACTAAAAATCAACAAAAAATTTTGTTGTTTAGGCAGGAAAGGAACAAGTGCAAACTACACCTCTTGATAACATTATGGAAGCTTTCTATCATTTTTAATGTTTTGAAACTGAGTCTTAACCTTATAAAGAATTTGATGAAATTTGGAATCTGTTTAATTAATCTATCTGGTTATCAACTGGTCCATACTTATGCTCTATTACAATTTAGATTATGTTAATCAATTAAAAAAGAAACATAACAACACAGCATAAGTAGGGATGGTCAAAATGTCCTTAGTTGCCCTCTTAAATGTTTCTAACATAAGACAGATGTCATGAAGCACACTTCTACTCAGTTAGATCTGTAACTTTATCTTTCCTCTGGAAGTCCTATCAACAACTCATCTTTCCTAAAGTTATTTTTAACCACAGAGCCTGTAGAATCTGCAGAGCCAACTAACTGTATCTCAACCATATGGCAAATCTTGGAAACCAATGCTGATGTGATGTGAATTGAAATGTTGGATCTAATAGGTGTTTCCAGCTTTAGTATTATCTTGTTTGTGATAGAGTTGAGCTCAACAGCTGGGTAAGGTGGAAGTTGATGGTAACATTCTGATCTCTTATCTGGCTTCTATAATTACATGCAGAACAAATTCCTGATTGTGCCGTGGATTCAGAATTTGCCCTGAACATATATCAACTTGTATTACCTGAATGTTTTTTTCTAAGTTTTAGTCTATATTCTAGGCCATGGGTGGTTCTAATGTGATATGTATATTGTTGTTTAATTAAAGAATTCCTTTCTGTTATTCACAGTAGAGTATGCTAAGGCTAAACTGGAATTTAGGTTTCATATTTCAATGCACTCTTCTATATATACACAGCATTTTTGAAGAATTTTGTTTTGAATGATTTGATAAGTGGAGGTCTAAGCCCAGCCTATTGTGCCTTTAATCCCTTTAGTATTAGTCTGTGTTAGAAGTCTTTATTTGCATTTTCTTTTTCATTCAATACATTGATTCAAGCAGAAAAGCGATGTTAGTTTTGTGAACTTTTTTGTTAGGTTTTGTTGATTTCATATTTACATTGATTACATATACATTGCAGTCAAAAATGGAAAGTTCGTCATTTCACTTAGAGACTGAATATGAATTGTGAATGGTACATGATCCTGACTTGTTTGGTTAGTTCATGGTAAAGTCCAATTTTCAATGCCTTCAATACATGTTCAAACGTTGGCAAAACCTTTGCTTAATATTATAAACCTTCAAAATGGAGCCATATTTGCAGATGGAAATGTGCACAAACTCTCTGTTCTTATTAGGCAACTTGTTGATTAAGAAAATCGCTGGAGAATTAACAAACATTGTCCAAATGTAAATAAGAATACTTAACTCAAATGAATTGTTCATATATTTGCAGAACTATTGTACTGTACCTCAGATACCTCAATTCTAGCTTTGAAATCGAATGCCCATTTGACATTTTCTTTGAAAGTGTAGATTAAGAATAATGATTCTTAATGAAAGCATGATCATAAAACTTGAAGTTAAGATAAGTGTTACTCAATTTCTTTATAAGCAATAGAGCAAACAATTTGTATCCTTCTTAACACTCAAAAGTTGCATAAGTCAGGTTAAGAACTGTTTAAATATTTTTACAATTTTAATCTGATTTCTATGATGGTTTTTGGCCATATGCAATGCTTTCAACACCTTATTCCACCAACAATGTTAACCCAATTTAACAGGCCAAAGAATTGGTTCCGGGAGATTTTTTGCCCTTTTGAACATTTACAAAGAAAGCAATGGAATTTGTTGTTGAGCCGCTGGGCAAGGTGACAGTAAACACTTATCCTAGCTAGTGTTTTCACATTGCATTTCTATTATTATTGAGAGTTATATAAAGCCCAATTTGACTTTCAATGCTCATTATGTGCAATTTTGTATGCTAGTAAATCAATTCAATAAAACTTAATTCTCAGGTTGGTATGATTTTGGTGTATAATGTGGAAGGGGAAATATCCAGTGGTCTGATTCATTCCATAAATATGTCCAGCAAAACATATTTATTTTGAACCTATAGCTGAGGTCTTTTCTAATTGCATTTTGTCAGGCAATGTCAATATGTATTATAGGCTCCAAATATTTTCCATATTCACCTGATTGAATAACATATAGAGTACACTGTATTTTTGAAAATGTATCATCTGAAGAGAGAGGACATTTGATGCACATTAATTATTTTTATTTATATTTTACTTACATGTTATATAACATCATAGTATAAGTACATAAATAAGTTAAAAAGGTAATATTAGTTAATATATAATTGTGTATTAGTTAAACATCTACTTCTGTCGATGATCACTCATATTTAAGCTACTCTTGCATAGAAATTATATGATGTATTATCCATCGCAATACACACATGCGCTTATATTATTTTAATTTTCAGTTTATAACCTGACAGTGTATTATTTTGTAGCTGCCAGAGTATTACATTATTATAACTGTGCCTAACTTTATATCTCAACATGTGCTATTATTAAATATTTTCCAGCAATAACTTGCATTCCCTTAACTTGACAGACATGTACTTATGTGTATTAAATTTTATATATACTTCACATATAATTAGCAGTTACACATGCCAGGCACCCACAAACATTGTATACCACAATTTTCAGGTACTTTCTGTCCCATATGAAGTGTAAGGTATACAAACAAGTGACCCATTACTATAAATTTATTGTAGACCTTCTCTGGATTGTTCTGTATCGCCATCAATCCTTACAAACGTCTCCCCATCTACACCATGAGGGTTGTGCTTAAGTGGCGCCACAAGAAGAAGACTGAAGTGCCACCCCATTTGTTCACCATCACTGAGGTGGCTTTCCAGCAGATGATCACAGGTGATGGAACCGTTTCATGCCTGTGCCCACCGACACTCATTCCCATATGACCAAAGTATTCCTGTTTTAGGCCCACCATATCATGTGACTTTGTATGAAACCTGCATTTCCTGTCAGATCTTCTGGCCACCCCTCTCTCTGGAATATGAACCCTATATATTGCCCAAAAACAGAACTAGAAGTGCATTGAAGTGTAGGAATACATTATAACACATCCATCCATTTATAGCATACAGTATGACACATGCCCCCATACACATCTTTGAATTCTGACCCAGATTTGACCCCACGAGTGATCTTTGCAGCATCATATTTTCTCAATATCTATCTACCTCTCTCTCTCATGTAACATTTCAGACCTTTTCTGGCCTGTTCTGTATTGCGGTGAACCCATACAAACGTCTCCCAATCTATACAATGCGAGTTGTGCTGAAGTATAGACACAAGAAGAAGACAGAGATGCCTCCCCATTTATTCACTATTACTGAGATTGCCTACCAGCAGATGATAGCAGGTGATGGTTGTATAAACCAACCAAAAATCACTGTTGCTTAAATCAAACCATTTGGACCCACAATCTATATCCATATAGCTTTTACACCAACATCCTAAACATTACTCATAGTCCAAACAACCAGACAACACACCTTTTCTATTTCAGCCAATTCCTGTGCCAAGAGGCTGCAGACTAAACTTCTGATTTTGGTATTAATATGTTTGTCTTCATCCATGGTCCATGCAGCCATTTTTACCACCATTCGCATGTTTGAAATTGCAGACTTTCTCAGGCTTGTTTTGCATTGCCATCAACCCCTACAGACGACTACCCATTTATTCAATGAGAGTTGTCACAAAATGGAGAGGAAAGAAGAAGACAGAAGTTCCACCTCATCTGTTTACTATAACAGAGGTTGCATTCCAACAGATGATCACAGGTTGGATCCGTGTTTCACAAAACCTATCCTAGATTTTTGTTGTTCTAATCAACATCTTTTCCAGTGTTCCCTCTAATATAATCTTCTGTATTGTCTAAATCAACATGCATATATATATTCACAAGTCAGTTTACAATCACACTGTTTACCCTTGTACACCACTTTCAAGCCCCCTTCATCCAATCAGAGTTTACTCTGAAGGATACTAAATAATATCTTCTCAGTCTTACACAGTTCCCAAAACAACCTATAACAATCCTAAAGAATATGACAATGTAGCCCAACATGAATGTCTCCATCACTCCCACCTTCCTTTTCAGACATACCTAATTCTTGCTATATTTCAGCTATATCTTCAGGTCTACATCTCACACCCTTTCTGTATGTCCTCCCAATTCATCTTTTTCCAGACCTTCTCAGGCCTATTTTGTATTGCTGTGAACCCATACCGCCGCCTACCTATCTACTCCGAAAGAGTTGTATCTAAATACCGGTTTAAAAAGAAGAATGAAATGCCACCACATTTGTTTGGTATCACAGAAGAAGCCTTCCAGGCTATGATTTTAGGTTTGTCATATCTTTGCCCACTGTACACCCCAAACCAATCCTTGGAATAGCATGTTTGACTCCATTATAGACACCTGTTTGATTCCTTACTCCATTTTGAATTTAGGAATCTGATCAGAATCTATTAGAGATCTGCAAAAAGACCACCAATATCCTCAAATTCCCCATTTCCCTATAAGCATCCATAATCTAAATCACAAGCCCTGTGTTGGCTCACCCATCTTTCCAAGTGTTCTTGGAAAATCTTTTATCCACATCTGGATATGTTTTTCTCTTTATGTTTTCTCTTTTTGTAATATTTGCATCTAAAGACTCTTTGATGTCTAGTGTTGGACTTCATAGCTGAATTTCCTCACCTCTTCCTCTAAAGTTTATACCCATCCTCACTTTTGTGTACATAATTCATTTTCAGACTTATTCTGCTCTGTTTTGTGTTGCAATCAATCCCTATAGACCCATCCCGATATACACAAGATCTATTGCTGAAAAGTATCGTTTTGAAAAGATTCGAGAAATGCCTCCACATTTATATGGCATAACAATGGATGCTTGGCAGGGAATGATATCAGGTTTGTTAGGGTTTTACTCAGGAAGAATGGACACTCACTCGCACAAGGAAGGTTTGGTATGGTTTAAACCAATTGCTATTGGTTGGGATTACACTGATGATTACATGTAAGCTGGATTTTACATTTTATAAGACCTGCACAAACAAATCCTAAACCAACAACTCACCCAAATTTTTGTCTAATACACCTGCACCATTAAGGGACCAATATATGGTACCAATAGATGTGTCATACCATATAAACCTTTTTACCATGCCCAACATGTCTAAACCTGTATCTGCACTCCTAGAAACACCACCAGAAACTCCAAAACCAACAACCCTATAGCTAATGATCCTTTTACTTCCAGGTGTTATTAACAAATTCTATTTCTATTAATATGATATTACTGTTGTATTTCAGATCCTTTTCTCAAAAATTCAAAATATATCCTGCATCTAAATACCAAATCCATGCATTGAATATCAACAGTACCTGATTGATTGATGAAGCCCCTGTGTTACCAACATAAATTTTGTGTCACCCATTTTTGCAGATCATAAAACCATACCAATGACTTCCTATTAACACCCAATCTGTCACTATGAAAATGAAGATATAAAAAGTGAACTGAAATGCTACTTGTCTGGAATTCTATGTAATTTAAGCATGTTAAGCCAGTAGTTTGGCATATAAGGAACATGTAGAAGTACATTAATGAGTTAATGGAAAAAGTTACCTCTTATGGAAATTTCATTTTGAAAACACACAACAGAAATATGTTCTGATATTACTATCTTTCTTTCTTTAAGAACACTTACATATCCTTTTCTTAAAACACTTTTCTACATCTGATATCTGAATGAACCTTTCCTGTTTGTTCCTTTCAGACTTACTCAGGTCTGTTTTGTGTGCTCATCAACCCCTCCAAGAAATCCCCAATCTATGCTTGTACTGATGATTATGATATTTAGTCTTCTTTTGACCACTTCATTCCTTTACAGGTTTGTGATACCTTGAACACCTCTTTGAATATAGTAACCATGTAGATTTATCTGAGATAATGTCTGGTGTCTTTATTCTTAACCTATCCAAATTCCTTTCCAGGTGTGTGATACCTTGAACACTAGTTGAACACCTTCTTATGTATAGCAACCATGCTCTAAACCTTTCTAGGTTTGAATACTTTTCCTGTATGAACACTTATCTGACACCTTGCACGTAATTCCCTTTCAGACATACTCCGGTCTCTTTTGTGTTGTGATCAATCCGTACAAACGTCTGCCAATTTATAGTCCTAGAGTAACAGATAAATACAGGTTCAAAAAGAAGACCGAAATGCCTCCGCATTTATATTCTATTGCTGAAACAGGATATCAATTTATGTTGCTAGGTTGGTTACAGACTAAGTATAGCATGATCATATAGAGAAACACCACCACTAGTATCACTGCATCTCCTTGTGGTGTGAACTACCTCTCTTAGTTGTGAGGCGGAGAATTATGAATATAGTAACCATGTAGATTTGTCTAAGTAAAAGATAATGTCTGGTGTCTTTATTCTTAACCTTTCCAAATTCCTTTCCAGGTTTGTGATACCTTGAACACCTCTTTGAATATAGTAACCATGTAGATTTATCTGAGATAATGTCTGGTGTCTTTATTCTTAACCTATCCAAATTCCTTTACAGGTTTGTGATACCTTGAACACCTCTTTGAATATAGTAACCATGTAGATTTATCTGAGATAATGTCTGGTGTCTTTATTCTTAACCTATCCAAATTCCTTTACAGGTTTGTGATACCTTGAACACCTCTTTGAATATAGTAACCATGTAGATTTATCTGAGATAATGTCTGGTGTCTTTATTCTTAACCTATCCAAATTCCTTTACAGGTTTGTGATACCTTGAACACTAGTTGAACACCTTCTTATGTATAGCAACCATGCTCTAAACCTTTCTAGGTTTGAATACTTTTCCTGTATGAACACTTATCTGACACCTTGCACGTAATTCCCTTTCAGACATACTCCGGTCTCTTTTGTGTTGTGATCAATCCGTACAAACGTCTGCCAATTTATAGTCCTAGAGTAACAGATAAATACAGGTTCAAAAAGAAGACAGAAATGCCTCCGCATTTATATTCTATTGCGGAAACAGCATATCAATTTATGTTGCTAGGTTGGTTACAGACTAAGTATTGCATGATCATATAGAGAAATAACTTTCTTTTACTTTCTCATCCTTACCTATATATTCCTCAATTTCCTACCAGCACTATTATCACTGCACCCCCTCTCCTTGTGGCTGTGTGAACTACATGTACTTCTCCTGGTTGTGAAACAGAGAATTACGATTGCAGACAGGACCTTACCTGAACACCTGAATGGAATTTTACCTTTTTTATACCTTTAACTTTGATTAACCCTTTTCCAGACCTATTCTGGTTTGTTTTGTGTTGTGATCAACCCCTACAAGCGTCTACCAATTTACACCCCTAGAGTAACTGAAAAATACCGATTCAAAAAGAAGACAGAAATGCCTCCACATTTGTATTCTATTTCCGAGGGAGCATATCAGTTTATGTTGCTAGGTTGGTGATAAAGCATGTGGTGAGCTATGTAGATACAATTACGAGTGAAGGAAATACAGAGACGGCTTCCGCCAATTCTCATCTTCTAATCTCAATATTGATTCTGATGTTGATTACCCACACAGTTCAATTCATGTTTTGGATTATGTTTTATTTGAATAATGTCAAAGTTAATGAAATCATAAAAGCTGATATTCAAAATACTAAATATGGGACTTTACTACTGAAGCACTGAAAATCTGACAATTAATTTTGAAGTTCTTCAAATGAAATGATCTATGTGGGTATTTCACTTTTGTGTGTGTTTGTCTCTTCTGTCATTGTGAGTCACTTTTTCGTCTAGGAATATGACAACATGATGAAACTATTGCACGCTTTGTGTTGTGCTGTGTTCTCATCTAGTATGTCTTTGTAGTCAGTACAGTCTCATGCACTTTAGTTTTATTCCAGAAAATGATATCCTGTGATTGGATAGTCCTCTCATATATTTTCTCCTTCCTTTCCTCATTAATTGCATTAACTTCCAACAAATTACCAGTTTGTTTCAAAACATTCTCTTCCAGATCTCACATATTTTAATTCTCTTACCATCTCTAAGGACTTGGCTGAATGTGTCAGTGTTAATGTCACAGTCATTGAAATATTTACAAGGGGTGAATAATACTCAAAATTTAATTGGTTATCTGAATAGTGAAAAAATTGGAATGACTATGTGGCATTAATCTTTTGTGATCAGCCAGGTTTTACCTTGCTTTCTAAATAATTTTGCAGTCATTATTATTAGAAATTTAGGAATAGATGGTACATGACTATACCAAGGAGTATATGTTTATGTACAACCCTCTACTACTTGTGTGAATCTCTAGCACCTTTATTGTATTTTCCTGCATTTACCCGAGTGACAAACAGTCTGATCAGCACTTTGGTATTATTACTAAGAAGCAATACCCTTAAATTTGAAATGGAATAGTTCTCAATTGATCAGGAGTTATTGCTCTAATGTAACAATATCAATTTTCTGAATCCACATCTACTAGACTTAGGTGATCTAGAACCCTGAAGAGCAGCTGAACAAAGAAGGTACTGAATATGCATGTCGTGACAATCTTCTTCATACATGTGCAACACTGCAAGTTGCTGATTTTTCTCTCCTTGCCTCTTCCAGACATATTCTGGTCTGTTTTGTGTTGTGATCAACCCATATAGAAGGTTGCCTATTTATACTCCATCAGTCATCGGCAAATACCGATTCAAAAAGAAGACAGAAATGCCTCCGCATTTGTTCTCAATCTCAGAGGGAGCGTATCAATTCATGGTATTAGGTCTGTGATGGATTTCTAGCATGGTTAGCCCTGTGATTTATATCTACCTTGAAACTAATTCTTTCCTATCCATCTATCCTTCATGTGTGATTCCTGTAATATAGATTAATCTAGGTATGAACCACTGTGTGCTCCCACCATTTGTATAGCAGAAGATGATGAGGATCCTAAATGGATAGAGTGTGACCCACCCAGAGTGAATGATACCCCTATAATACCAACTGAAGATTTTAACCTTAAATGTGTGGATTGTTTTCCCTGTTTATCTGCACCTTCCAGATGAAGTACGCACACGCATGCTATAATGGTCCTTTCTGTTTTGTGGATTTTTTAACACAAGGGATCATTTTAACTTGTTTGAATTCTCCTATAATTATAGTTCTATTCCCTTCTCTTCCAGACATATTCTGGTCTGTTTTGTGTAGTGATCAACCCCTATAGAAGGTTGCCTATTTACAAAGAAAGCGTCATCAGCAAATACCGATTCAAAAAGAGGACAGAAATGCCTCCACATTTGTTTTCCATATCTGAAGGAGCATATCAATTCATGCTGTTAGGTCGGTGATGGTATACTTTATACCTTATTCTCATATTCTTTAGGCTTACTTACCTACTAAATTGTCAAGCATGGATGTAGCATGATCCTCATGTCTCGCTGTCCAAAAAATATTAAATGATAACTAAGGTGAACTTTATGTTGTATGATGTCGTTATGCTTTCTTGTAGACATATTCTGGCCTATTTTGTGTTGTTATCAACCCGTATCGAAGGTTACCTATTTATACGATGAGTGTCATCTCAAAGTATCGTTACAAAAAGAAGACCGAAATGCCTCCGCATTTATTTTCCATTGCTGAAGGATCTTATCAATTTATGTTATTAGGTTGGTTTTTTGGTATGGCATGATTATGGAATACTTTAAGATGAGTGGTTTGGATTATAGATGATTTGAGTCCAGTGAAATATGGGTTCTGAGGGTGGGGCTATTGACCATTATAATTAGATGCATGGTGTCAGCGTATAGTGCATGATGCAGGATTATTTTAGTATCCCCATGTTTTATGTTTTACTAAGATGCATGATTTATTTATTCATTCAGTTTTTTCCAGGATTGAAGCATGTCTGATCAGCTCCTCCTATATATGTAATTGCACAATTAGTCCATTACTTCAATATAACATTTAACATTATAGAGCATGGAGCAAATGAAAGAAACGTACCTTGACAAATGACAATCATTATCATCATCGATTTGAAAAATTTCAGACATACTCAGGCTTGTTTTGTGTGGCGATCAATCCATATAGACGCCTACCCATTTATACAATGAGAGTTGTTACAAAATGGCGATTTAAAAAGAAAACTGAGGTCCCTCCACATTTGTTCTCTATAGCAGAGGGCGCTTACCAGCAAATGGTTCAAAGTAAGAAAAGGAGTGATGCTTCGACTCTAGTTATCTTATACCTTTAGTTATATCTTGTAGAGACAACTATGCCATGGTGAAGGTGGTGTCTCATTCTCAAGAGTTACTCTAGTAGATCAATAAGATTCATTTATAGACCATGGTTCTAAAGAGGTAAAATGAGTAGTTGTCTTGTGTTTTACTGACACAATAGCCACACCCATTTTACGTCTAGAACCTTCAACCTTATGATCGCCATTTTCTCACATAAACTTTCGCCATTTTCTCACATGAACTTTAATTTTGATCTACATGCATCTATACTGCTCTTATCATTAGCTTGTCCTAAAATCCAAATGTTTATAAGGTTTAGTTTAGCTGTAATCTCTTTAGGCAACTTGCTTTATAGTTCTATATGTAGCTCTCATAGAAGATCCCCATTTCTATCAGCAGTTTGGAAAAAAATTGCCAACATCATAGATAACATTTTTGAGAATTGCCAACTGTAACACCTAATAACAATGCTTATCTTTTTAGATACCCTATGCTTTAGAAGGCATTAAGCTTTACCAGTTTTACTTTATTAACATTAAGGTCCGCTTTCCCATCTACCACATTGAGTTCTGTGATTTTCAGACTTATTCTGGGTTGTTTTGTGTGTCGGTTAATCCATATGACAAAATGTCTGTCTACACAGATAGGATTTGTAAGAAATACAAAGGGAAACGTAGGGATGACATGCCTCCACATATTTATTCAATTGCTGATAACGCTTATTCAGCAATGCTCAAAGGTACACTAGTTAAGGGGTGGGGTATGGGTTGGCATTTCTTGGGTATGCGGTTTGGAGATATTCAGTTCTGTCTTCTATTATAAGAAAATCCAAATGGGTGAGATCTGATCTATCAGTTGATATTATACATCTACCTCAAGCATGATTGTCTTAATGTCTCAGCATGTTTGCATGTCATGATATGAACTTGGGGGGTAGGGAGGCATTCAGCTCAATGTGGCAAATATGTAACTCTGTCTGTCTATGAAAAGTTCTGGCCATTGCTTCAGATAAGGTAAGCTTTGCTTCTTTCATTATATAGTATTAGTATATGAGCATTAGTAAGTATATATATTCCATGTTTCAATTTGCAGGTTTCTAGCCTATATGTATTGGCTTCACATTGTATGAATGTTTTAGGTCTCTCTATATCTTAACACAATCAACCTAACCTTTTGCATGAACCTGCCTTGCCTAATCCCAATATGCACTGTTTCACATGTATTCATTTTCAGGGGTTTGAAAATCAAGCCTTGGATATATGTAAGCAAATATCAATAATTTGTTACTGTATCAAACCAATTGCCAATTCAAATAACTAAAGATGTGAAATATGTAAATAATTATGAAGTATTATTTTGAAAAGTTATCATTGAGCAACAAATTGTTTCTCACTTTTTCTGCCAAAATAAATTTTTGGGCTTGGCAGGGTGTAAATAAAATGTAGTAATACTAGTATATTTCTGAACTTGATAAATTGGTTCATTTTCCAAGTAGGAACTGCTGGGTGTCTATTGCAAACCATGGTTAATGGCCACCTTTCTATAATCAAATAAAATAACTTTCTGTATCAGTTTTTGAATTCATATTGTGAATTTAGTGTCAGGTCAGACATTGCATTAATGTACAAGTAATTTCAAGTATGTTTATAACTTTTCAGTATATTTCCCTGTTACATTGTTAAGATTTTACATGGAAACATGTTGAAGCCATTCAAATGTTTTCATAGGGGAATAATGGAGAGAATGCATTTGGCATACCTCCATACATTAACATTAGTACTTATTGCTTAAGGAGATTGGGGTTGCTCAAAGTCAGATATATTTAGATGCTTCATCCGTGGATGTAACCAATGGCAACCCAGTGCATACCGGTTCCCTTATTTGGGCATAGCCATTGATATTGCTTGGTTTTCGGCATGTATATTTATTACCTGCCTGGGTTATTTTTGGTATTGGTATTAACTCCTCCTTAGAAGGGATATAGGTAGAGCATGTAATTACTCTACTGACACAAAGTCATATACACCCTGGAGATCAAGAGATTTAAGGCTTATATGTATACATATACATGTACTGACTAATCTCATTTGTTAAGTATATGAATAATGAAAGTCAATTAAATAGATCATGTTGATATACTTATATTACAGTTTTGGGCCTATTCTGATTATATTTGTATCTTTTGAAGAGATTGGATTTCATGTATTGCAGTCTGCTTCTGAATTGATTATCATATTTTTCCTGAAACTTTCTCAACAGGGAGAATCGTAGGCATCTAGCCAGGGCCAATCAGGGCAAAATATTTTGAGTGGGCATGTTCATTTAGCTGTTCAATTTCAATCCAACATTTGCTATGTCTATGATTGTTGAATTTAAGTATACAGTTTCATTTATTTGCATTGTACTTTAGGGATAACTGTTCCCTTTGCAATGAAATCAGATATGCTATTGACATGGGTCTTGCTTTAAGTGGAGGTCACTCAAACCTCTCAATAAAACCACATCTTTTTGTGTCTCCATCTTTCTTTGAAATGGAATTAATATGGTTATTTTGCCACGAAAGGTGACCAAGTGAAGAATGATATTTTTTTTTCAATTTTCAACTATTAAGAAAATTTAAGATGTCATATACATGTAATTGCGACTGCCAAATATGATTTGAATAAAATCGTTTCCCAATTTTATTTTGGCACAGTGAGATTTTCTAATTTGTTGTTAATGATAACTAGTTGTAACCAAAATGCGACATGCGATGTACAACTAATTTATGCTCTTATTTGACATGCGATAAAATTTGATATAATTTGGTAATGTATAATATTAAGTATTTCATCAACTGGAAAAATATATAGATTGTATATAATATACTTATTACATGTATAACCACAGTGTTGTTAATTGTTATTTTGTTATAGAACATTATTAACGTTGCCATCTTTTTTTTATTCCCTCTTCTACAGATCGTGAAAATCAGTCCATTTTGATTACGTAAGTATTTTAATTTGAATTACTTATTTGAATAGTCACATTTAGATTAGCTTAAGCATACCTAAAAGTTCTAAACGTGTTGATAGAGTGATTTATATATAGAAAATATCTGTTCAGAATTTTCAATTACACCTATAGTTTGGCATGTTATGGAAAGTTTAGAGGGTACATCACTACTGCTTTAAATGGGTATATAACTGCTTTCTGGTGTACTTGGTTCAGGGGTGAAAGTGGTGCCGGGAAGACCGAAAACACCAAGAAGGTTATTCAGTATTTTGCCTATGTGGCTGCACCTCGAAAAGGTGACCTCCAGCGTGACAGCAATGTAAGTCATTACCCAGAAGCCTTTAATGGCCTCTCATTGGTCACTTTAGCTCTCAGGGACTTGATAGGTCACCAAAGCTAAAGTGATTTGTGATTGGTCAACAAGGATTCAAAATGGGAATGCAAGATAACGCAGGAAAATTTTTTCATGTGTTCATCTTGGCAGCTTATATTTAAGTTATCCACCTGGTGATGCTCTCTTCATTCATCCCTCAAGGATATTGATTTAAAATGTGAAAATCAGTCCGAAGTGAATGATATGAAGACAGCAACATTATGTGCCTTGATTCCTCGGAATTAATACATTCAATTATTCATATGTCTTGTTGTGTCCTACAGTGGAGAATCTGGTGCCGGAAAGACAGAGAACACCAAGAAAGTAATCCAGTACTTTGCCTATGTGGCCGCTGCAACCAAGAAGGATGACTCCAAGAAGGACGATAAGGTGATAAAGGATTCCATTGTGTGCTTGACTCCCAATGCTTTTATTTCACAGTTGCTCATTATACAAATCATTTCATAGTTTTTTAAGACTATTCTAAAGATGAAGCCAAAGATATGGCATTCACATCAGAGAGTCAACTTTTTTCTCCATTTTTATTATTGTTAATATGACGAGTCTTTGAATAGTCTTTTATGAAAATTATGAAACATAGTTACAAGATATGAAGCCATTTTATATATACAGGATGATGCTCCAATGATCTTGTGAAATAAAAGCAATATTGAAATGTGTTAGGATGATTTTAACATGTGTGTCATTCCATACACCCCTAGTTCATTATGAAATAACATTTCCTATAAGATATTGAAAATATCCCTACAAGATATTGAAAATATCACCCTCTAACAGTGTTGTAGTTTAGTCAGAAATTCACCCTGGGTTCTGGTTTTAGAATTTGGAATAATGGGTCTACTCTAATTTAGGTCTTTTCTCACAATCTTCTTACATGAGAGTTTGCTTTGTGGTGGTCTTGACTATTTAGTTTACAAATACTTGAATCTAAATTCTGATATTGCAATTCTGATTTTTGCAATATCATAGTGCATTAGACATTCATTAAATTTGAAGCATTTATTCAAAATTGTGCATAACGCTTAGGATCCTTCCTGCAAACATGAGATCACATCATTTTGTGGATTTAAAGCCAGCAAAGTAAATTGCATTACATGCTTTTCCAAACAGGATTACAGCAAGTACATTGAATCTACTTTGGCAAACAGTTCCAATATTTTCATTATGGATCAGTACACCTTTGCCTAATTCCAATGTTGGACTGACTGTTGATGTGTCAATATAATAAGTTGCATATCTGATAGCCAAATGCATGGTTGATGTATCATTTGTCTTTCATTGGATATTGCTTATAAACAATCAAGTTCACTTGAATCGATCAGCATTTTCATGTTTATAATTTGAAATTTAGCACCATTTTTGTGGGATGAATTGCCTTAATATGAATTGCATGGTGTGGTTTTGTTTGTTGTAGCATACCCCATTATAAACCAGCTGAGATGTTCCTTACTCCCACTGCACTTTAAACATAGTGACCTAGTCTTGCACACAATTGGACATCCGATATTACCACATTTTGTTGATGTTTATGCATTACTTTAAAATGTGTGGATTTTGTTGTCTTTTAGCACCCTGTAAATTCTAATACTTCTTCTTGTGATTAACTAACATCATGTTTATAGTTTGTAAAAGTAGTTTCTTAGTCTCTCTCTCAAATTTCAAGTTTCTCACATTTCAGATAAAATGGAAATTCTATAATGTCCCATAGTTCTGTAATGCATTGAATAAGTGCTTTTTGATTTTGATATGGAGAGGATTTTGATACATAATAATTAACTCATTGAAATATAAAAGTGTTTGTGATAGAATGATTGTGTTATATCTTAAATTCTTGTGTGTAATACATGATAAATACTTAGCATGTTATTGATAGAAAATACTGCAGTTTTACATTGGTTTTTAAATATATATATTTTCTTTTTTAAATACAGAAAGAAGTAAGTCAAATATGCTTTGAAATCCTGTGCAAATCCAGCTTTTTTGCATACCATGAAAATCTTTTATTTTTGGCCTTCACAAATTTAAATATACATTATTTTGGATCTCACATTTATTCAAAATAATGCTTTGATTCATTTTCCCATATATGTTTATAATTTACAAAAATGGATAATTTTGCTGCTGTGTTAATTTTAATTTAGAAATAAAAAATCATTGGTGAATTAAGTGTTAACCTCGCCATTTTTCATTGTACTTTTATTGTATTTATTGTACTTTTATTTATTTATTGTCTTTTCAATTCTCCAACCCTATTGGTCTGTCCAATTTTTTGTGGAGTTTCAAACTTTTATTTGCTTCTTTTGTGATTTTGGAAACACATAGTCAATAATGATTACATGTCTATCTATGATCATCAAAATATGACTCTTTTAAATATTTTTTATCTGAAAATGCTTAAATGACAATTTAATCTTGTATTGGTAGTGTTCGTGTTGCTGTATTATTCATGGTAAAAATGTATATTTTTTTGTTATAGTTAAATAAATAAACTAAATTTTCTTTCCCTGCCTTTTCTGTCTTGCCTAATAGGGATCAAAGAAAGGATCTCTTGAGGACCAGATTGTGCAGGCTAACCCTGTACTTGAGGCTTACGGTAATGCCAAGACCGTGCGTAACAACAACTCTTCCCGATTCGTAAGTAATCCAGACACCCAATTGGATTTAGACGTTTCTCCTGTTTTACATTTTACTCCTTTAGGTGTGTGTTATGTAATCACTTCTAGGTTTGTGTGATTGCATAGTGTGTAAACCACTTCAGCCATTTTGAGATGTCATGAGCAACCCCATATTTCTTCTGGGATTTTGGAAGTTCAGTTCCAAGTTGTTACTCATGTATTCTGTTTAATAGTGGATTGCAGGTCATTAACCCAAGCAAGTTACCGCAGAGAGGCTGATACTATGGCTTCATGACGATGGTGAATGGTTTATCTGTACCAATCATCTCATTATGCCGTATGCCACACGGGTCTTCTATAGCATGCTTCATTTTCTACCAAAGTGGCGCATGAATGGGTATTTGTCACCCCGATATGCCTTGATTCATTGGTGTAGAGTATTATTGGTAGAATCTCATGGTATGTCTTATGAAGACTCATCTCCTGGCATTTGAAGGATCGTCATTGCTTTTGCATCATTTTCCCTAACAACGGATCAGCAGTTTTGTTTGATACCTGCTCCCTCTATTACCCAAGCAGCCAAGTTGGATTACCCCAGAGTGATACCCATCCACATTGAAACCTTACATACAAGGACACTTAACCAATCTAAAAATATATGTGAGATAATGATCTTGATTATTAGAGTTAAAAATCAACACTAAACTAAAAGAGAAACAGCAAATTCAATTTCTCTTGTTCTGGGACATTTTGACATTGAAAAGTTTGAACTCACATATTTTTTAGCTGTTTGATGTCCATGTTTGTATCTGTAATATTCTGGTGTTGTGTGTTGTGTCATAGTTCACTAGTGTTGTAGTACTAATGCATTACACCCCTACTATACCTTAACTTTAGACTGGGAATTTGGAAGACCAGATCATCCAGGCTAACCCTGTATTGGAGGCATTTGGCAATGCCAAGACTGTCAGAAACAATAACTCCTCACGTTTTGTAAGTACCTAGTCGACACATGAAAATATTATAGAAAACAGATTTCGAGGCAGGCTGAAATTCTCAATCGACAATATTTTCTGTTTATTTCTTCTGAGTTACTTTCCTCTGTACACCTTGTACTAGATGATTTTGTGTGTTGCCATGGTTGCATGTTTTGTTTTATTGAGTGATAGTAGAAGGCCTGTATTGATAACGAATGTTGAATATTGTCAGTCACTTGTCATTTAAAAATATGTATTGCTGATTATTTTCATTTTAATCAACAATTATTTTTGTTACTGACTCATTTTTGTCATCATTAAACTTCATTTACAACTAGTTTGTTCACAAAAAAATATTTCATTGTATTTTACTTTATACATGTGCCTATGAACCCAGACCTTTTCAAATTTAATTTCTTGTGTTGGAAATCTAGGGATTGAGCAAACACTGTTTAATTGTCACATACTCTATGTTTAGGGAAAGTTCATCCGTATTCACTTCGGACCATCTGGCAAGATTGCTGGTGCTGATATTGAAACATGTGAGTATACACCAGATGGCGCTTATGCGACTCACCACAAAGAACAAATGTGACTGATCACTAAATTATATTCTGTCAGAGGTTTGATTGGTGGGTGGAGGGGGTTTATTCAGTGTTAATGATTTGTTGTATTTTAGTTCTCATTGTTGATTGGAGAAACAGTTGAGAAATCATCCTATTTACAACTACTGTATGAGTAAAACTATTATCTAATATTGAAATATTCACAAAACTCATGATTATCAAATATTTTCACATTTAATATATTGGCACATTGCTCTTGATAACATCCTCTATCTTCATTGCAGACCTTCTGGAAAAGGCCCGAGTCACCAGCCAGGGTAAAATTGAACGTAACTACCATATTTTCTACCAGTTGACTTCAAACGCAATTGAGGGAATGTGTGAGAAACTCCTGATTGAGCCTGACCCGGGACTCTATAACTTTGTAAACCAGGGTGCCCTCACTGTTGATGGTATTGATGATGTAAGTGTAATTACAAGATCTTCTAAAATGTCTCCTAAAGGAGATATTGGGAGAAAAGTTGATGTTTATGGCTGCTGGCTCCACCTATTGTAGAATTTATTCTTCATGAAAGTTTCATATAACTCCCTAAATATGTAAAATTGAATGAACAGTTCTAATGTTGATATTGCATATACAAATGTCTTGATGGGTCAGTTATCTGATCAGTCAAATGTGAAACTGGACTGTGACTGTAAACCAAAAGCTCGGCAACTTATGGGTATGTCACATGACTGAAAAAACTAAAAAGAGTGCCATTATTTATAGGTTGAGGAAATGAAAATCACAGATGAGGCCTTTGACATTCTTGGATTCACTGCTGATGAGAAATTGAGCATGTACAAAATTACCTGTGCCATCATGCACTTTGGTGAAATGAAGTTCAAACAGAGGCCAAGAGAGGAGCAGGCTGAAGCTGATGGTACTGCTGAAGCTGAGAAATGTGCCTTCCTTCTTGGTGTCAACAGCAATGACTTGACAAAGGCTCTTCTCCAGCCTAAGATCAAGGTCGGAACTGAGATGGTGACCAAGGCCCAAACCATGGCCCAGGTCTACTATGCCACATCTGCTATGTCCAAAGCTCTCTACGACAGAATGTTCAACTGGCTTGTGAAGCGTGTCAACAAGACACTTGACACTAAGAACAAGAGACAGTACTTCATTGGTGTACTGGATATTGCTGGATTCGAGATCTTTGAGGTGGGTTTTTATTAGGAATTGTGTAAAGTTGAATTTTTAAGTTTGAAATACTGTTCTCATCATTCTTATTTCAACAATGTACTGTTAAAATGTTTGTTACTCTGATTTTTTATTTTCCTATTGAACATTTCAGTTCAACAGCTTTGAACAATTGTGTATTAACTACACCAATGAGAGACTTCAGCAGTTCTTCAACCATCACATGTTCGTACTGGAACAGGAAGAATACAAGAGAGAAGGTATTGACTGGGAGTTCATTGATTTCGGTATGGACTTGCAGGCCTGTATTGACCTTATTGAGAAGGTAAGTTCCGAAGTTCAGCCTTTTTTGTGACAACTCAATGAATAACATCTTGATGATCAGTTTAAGATGCAAATATTGATGTTTGAATATTTATATTTTTTGATAATTTTTGTCTTTATTGTATTAGTCTCTCTGAGTCTTCCGTTTTTATCTTCAGTAAAATGTCCTTCTATAATTGAACACAAGCAGAATTCAACTTGTACAGAATGTAGAATTTTGGTACAAAAGAAAAAATTTTGTGTTCACTGATCTTGTATTCCATGCAATGTATGGCAGCTAAAGCATCAGTATTGATTTGTTTTAGCCTATGGGTATCCTCTCCATCCTTGAGGAGGAGTGCATGTTCCCCAAAGCCTCTGATGACTCCTTCAAGGCCAAATTGTACGACAACCATCTTGGCAAGTCCAACAACTTTGGTAAACCCACCAAGCCAAGCAAAGACAAGAAGTTGGAGTCCCACTTTGCTCTGTACCATTACGCTGGTGTTGTCAACTACAGCATCATGGGCTGGCTAGAGAAGAACAAGGATCCCCTCAATGAGACTGTTGTAGGACTCCTACAGAAGTCCAAGGAGCACCTTGTGCCACAACTCTTCGCTGAAGCTGAAGGTATTGTCTCATAAGACTAGGGCAAGGGATAGGGCTAGGGCTAGGGCAAGTTCTTAAAGGACAAGAGCCAATTCTTGTAGGGACAGTTTTATAAGGAATGGTCAGATCTCATAGATTAAAATCATAGAACTTTATAAATAAATATAAAAAGGCTTTGGACTCTTTTGTGCCATACCACAGTAACTGATGCAATGATTTTAGATCATTTTAAGCATTTGTATTTACTACTCAGATGATGCTGCTGCAAAAAGCAAGCCTGCAAGGCGTTCAAAAGGTGGTAGTTTCATGACTGTCTCCCTCATGCATAAGGTGGGTATATATCAGGTGTTACATTTGACATACTTGGGAAAGAACCCTTAAATCCATTTACGCTCCATCTACCTTTAAGTACTACATGGAGATCCATTACATGTTAAAGTTGAATATTTTAACTGTAGAGCAGTGTGTGTGTGGATTTAAGGGTTATTTTTCATAGCTTGCCATGTACATCTGGATTCAAAAACATCAACTGATGTGTTTTGAATCAGAGTTGCTTAAATGGTCACTCTTGACATTTGGAGTTCATTTGTGTGTTCCAAAGTATGACCAATTTTACTATTTACTCCAAATGTTCAACTAAGAGTGATCATATATGTGTATATGTAAATATATTTGAATTGTAATTGAATGTTTTTACTGTTCTGTTTCTTTAGAACAATCTGGTGGCCCCAAGAAGAAGAAGAAGGGTGGTGCTTTCCAAACCATCTCTGCTACCCACAGGGTAATTTGTGTGCTGCATCTCCCTTATGAACACCCTTCCCTTATTCATTACACTTTCTACTGCACTCTACTTTACTATACTATAGTGTACTGTACTATAGTGTAGTGTACTGTACTATAGTGTACTGTACTATAGTGTAGTGTACTGTACTATAGTGTACTGTACTGTACTATACTATTGTGTACTTTACTATACTATAGTGTAGTGTACTATACTATAGTGTACTTTACTATACTATAGTGTATTGTACTGTACTATATTATAGTGTACTTTACTACACTATAGTGTACTGTTGTGTACATAACTGTACTTTAGTGTACTCTATTGTACAATACATACAATAAGGCTATTTCATTGTATGAGAATTTCACACTGAATGACATAATCTGTTTAGTTAATTCAATGAAATAGGTGCAATTCTCTCAATGAAATAGCATTTTTGTTTCAACATGCACATTTCATTTAAAAACATTGATATTCTGTTTTAATGGAATAATCTTGGTGTTGGATGATAATTGATGCTGAAACGAATAATGACTTCAAAGTGGCATCTTCCTGTGTGATTTTCCTATGTAGTGTTTAGATGGTAAATCCAAATGAGACCAGAGAAATCATTTAACTAGAATAAGCTTTTGATGAAACTATATATTTAATTGATTATTTAATATGTTTAAACTGAAGTAGGCTTGGTTGATTTATATAAACCTACCAATATAAAGAACAATAAACTTATCTTTATATTATTCGTAAAACTACAACAGGCATTTGGATTTATCCTGATTTCGTAAACCTCGTGTTAGTTTCTTTCAAAAGAAAAAAGAAATTAAATCAATTTCCTATTACACTTATTCCACATTATTGCAAATTGAAGTGTAATATTCTGGAATAATTTGATTGTTTGGTTTGATAAGCATTAGGGATTATAAGATTATAGGATTAAATTAACAATTGATTCACTGGGGAAATTGCATTATATCTGCTTAAAAGTCTAAGAGGTGGAGGTCTATGAAATCTAATGAATAATCCCTAATTCTTTATTAGTTTCTTGATTGACCTTTTCCTACACTTTCATTGATCTTTAAAGTATTGGATATTTAGGAGATCTTGTCTTGGTGTATGACAACATAGCAAAACAAACAGTGCAGTCTTCTATGGATTAAACTTTCAAGTGATCAAATTCACAGAAAATTGTGCACTCTAATGTTTTCCCTCCTATAGACTCTTCTAGTGTATGTACTCTTCTATCTGGTGTGGTTTACATAATCATAAGGAGTATTTCACCTATTACTTCTTTCACCTCTATCCCTTGTGTGATTTCTCTACTAATATCTTCACTATCTAATAATAATTTACGAATAATTTATTTTTTACACAGTTTTAAGATAGCTGTGAAGAGTATGTTCGAATTATTAAAGTATTTGTTAGAAAATGAATAGAAATATATTAATTGACACTGCTTCAAATGTTAAGTTTTAATGCTATATATTATACATTAATAATTATTTATTAAAGGTCTCTCATTAAGAATTTTTCTCTTTAGGGTTCCCTCCACAAGCTGATGACCAATTTGTACACAACACAGCCTCATTTCGTCCGCTGTATCATCCCCAATGAGATGAAACAAGGAGGTTTGTCACCACTCAGCAGCTCTGACCTCACCTTACTGTTGTGTTTACCTATATATTGATCATCACAATGATTCCTTTACACATAGTTGCCTTTTATATCCACCCTTATTTTGACAGTTATGATGTCATAATGGCAGATGGAATTCAAATTTTGATATGCAGCAATACTTTAAAATTATATATTGTTGATTTATCTTGTCTAAATGGTGGATTTAGAGGAAAATGTGAAAATGAATAATTTGATTATTGATAACAAATAACATGTGATATTCCAGCTGACATTTTGTGTTCTCTACAAATTCGAACCTTTAAATTCCCAACTTTTACATTTTCCATTTCCAAATTTTCAGTGGTCCTGCCATATACCTCTACCTGAATGAGTTCAATCAAATTGTGTGAACCTTCTGAGTTATCCTGAGAATTGTTCTTATCTTGTATACTTACTTCCAGGCTGAATAATTCAGTTATCAGTTTTCTGTGTTCTATCCAAAAATACCAAATTTCAGTACCTACAATTTTGCTCAAACTTCTCGACCCTTTGTTTAACACATCTCAACGGCATGTCATATCACCTCTAATGAAATATTCTTTTTCAGCTTGAAATCTATGTGCCCCCCTGATGTGTAACCATAACTACCTCTGAGTGATCTTAAAGATCTAAAGTTGTCTAAGATGTTTTCACCTAAATGAATAACCAAAATACCCCCTGCTGACCTGATGCCTCTGACTTTATATTGATTCCCTCAATATGAAGTCATTTAACCCTTTGAAGTTTGCAGTTCATATTATCCTGATATGATTTTATGAACTGTATATTTTAAAAGGTTAATGAAGTAATATGATTACCAAAATGGTAAACATCTCAGTTCATTTTGATTTTTCATCATTTTTTTCTCTTGATTTTTCCTGTGTATAGGCATCTCTACAACATCTGATGCGTACTCTTAACAACACATGCCCCCACTTTGTAAGATGTATTATACCAAATGAAGACAAAGAACCAGGTTTGCAACCTAAAACAACTTATAAAAATCTTTTTTATTTGAAATCATGCACATGTAAGGTGGACCTTCTCTCAATTTGGTTGTTATTAAAATCAAGTGTTGCTCATTATGGATTAAGTTTGGTATTTCAATCTGGTTCGATGTCCAACCAACCTCCCAAAGTTATCCTAATGTCTATATCTTTTCCAGTTTCCTCCACTCTTTCTTGACTACTTATAACCAAATCTTATATTTTTCCTTTTCCTTAATTTTACCTCTCCTTTATTTCAGATCCTTATGGAAGATTATCTTCAATCTCATCGTTCAACCAAGATTTTTATTCAGTAATATTAAGCTGAAGTATTTTCTAATTCGTTTATCACTATTTGGATAGAAATCTTGGTTAAACTGTCACCTGTTTATCTTAAAAACCTTTTAATTAATCTTTTCTTGCCCTTTGTTTCTTTACCATATAAGGAGTCCCTGAAGAAGTTGATGGTGAACCTTTATAACACCCATCCCCACTTTGTGCGCTGCATTATTCCCAATGAGTTGAAACAGTCAGGTATTTCAGTAGCCATGCCCTGAAATTTGAAGTGTCCCATATTTGAGTGCCCAGTATATTTAGTTTCCGAGTGTCAAATGGTAGTAAATGAGTGTCTTTGAGTATCAAATCATGTGAATGCTGAATGAGTAGTAGTCATCTCAATATCAAGCACCCTAACTGTGAGTAATGAAAATAGGGTTCGAAACATCTATCCCTTTGCACAAAGATTTTTGATTAGGAGTGTACAGTATTAGATATACATCTATCCCTTTGCACTGGGTTGAAAATTGCACAGTGATTTCAGAGTGACAATTACTACCACAGGTATCTAGGGGAATTCGAGCTTTATGAAACTATTGCTTTCTCATCAATACTCTCTTATACTTAAATATATTGGCTGTTTGGCTCCTGCGTTTTATATTTCAACATCTATTGCTTTGTCATCCTCACATCTAGGAGTCATCAATGAATCTGATGGTGAACCTTTACAGCACTCCCCCCAGACATCACACTATGTGCCTTGTATTATCTTAATGAGGTGAAACAGCACATTCCCCCACCCTAGTTGACTTATATAAGCTTTCAATTCCATCTACATGTATGACCATTCACATCCATAGACCCATGAACATGATAAATAAGCAGAAATACTATAAACCAGTAGAGAGCAATGTACTAGAGACTGTATGGGGCTTCTAGCTTATTCTACATGTTTTCTGGCTTTATATATGCTTCTCTATGCCAGATCATCATCCTTACCTGATGCAGATGGTCCATCCTCTTTGGCCTCACCTGTATATATGCTCTCCACATCATCTTTACTTTTACCATTCCATTGATCCCACCTTTAATGATTCCTTTAATCTTTTAATCCCACCCTCTAGGAATCCTTGAAGAAACTGATGTTGAATCTTTATAGTACTCATCCTCACTTTGTACGTTGTATCATTCCCAATGAAGAGAAACAGTCAGGTATAAAAGTAACACCAGTATGCCTGACACCAAAACTTTACCCTTGTGTTCTGTCAGTAATTAATTTGCCCTCTGACTTTTATGAAATCATCATTTTGCCAAAAGGTCGAACATATTTTGGCTAGAAAAATGAATGATATTGTAATATAAGTTCATCTGAATTTGTACCCAAATAATATAGATATCTTCTTTGATGTATCCCCCTCCTTCTTATAAATAGTGTTGTTTTTGATTGATTCCTTTTAATCTTTTAATCCCACCCTCTAGGAATCTCTGAAGAAACTGATGTTGAATCTTTATAGTACCCATCCTCACTTTGTACGTTGTATCATTCCCAATGAAGAGAAACAGCCAGGTATATAACTGACGCAAAATTGCCTGTCAGCAAAATGCCTGATGCCAAAAGTTAAAGCACATTTCTTTTGTTAATTATTAATTGCCCTTTAACGCTATAAAATCATCATTTCAGCTTATTTATTTGGCTCAAAACAGAATGATATTGTATTAAGTTCTTCTTCTTTTATACCAAAATTAAGCTTATGATTTTGCCCCCATTCTTCTTACTCATGTTATATCTCAGCTATTAATATAAGGCCGGCACACTGTGACATGATGTCATGCCCTTCGCAATTTCTCTGCCTCATACTTTTATCTTATTCATTCTATGACATCATAATGGATGACCTCATAATTACTGACGAGTGCCTTCTTAGAGTATTTAAACTGTAGAATCATTTTAACATCATATCCATGAACATTCTCAGCTCAGATATTGTGGGGGAATCCATTATGATGACATTAATATTAAACGCATCTACTTTCTTTCCCACAGCTCATTCCCAGCGTTTCTGCTTCCTGATTTTCATTCGCTAAGATTTCACAATTAGCATTAAATTACATGAATATTTGAGTCGAAAAATTAACGATAAACAATTTAACTTGATTTTGGTTCTTGTTGAATCATGTATTACATAAACATTAGTGAATTGATGAGCATTGTGATATCTTAGCGAGACTATAAGCTCTGTTGTATTGGTACTGTGGTACTCTGTCTTAACTGCTATCTGTCTTAAGTGTGTTTTAAAGCATTTCTTTAAGAGTTTTTGCATTGATTTTCACCTACTCCAGGAGTCTCTTAAGAAACTGATGGTGAATCTTTACAACACGCATCCCCACTTTGTCCGTTGTATTATCCCTAATGAAGAGAAACAACCAGGTATTTTCTCGACCGATTGCATGTTAGAGATTTGGGACCACATGAGTACATTCCAGTAGTTTGTGAACATGTGTGTGAGATATTTTCCTGGTCGCCAAGATACCAAGAGCGAAACCTTTACTTACTTAGTAGTACCTGAGTGATGAATGTTCTCCTTTAATTTTGCACTTCTAATATATAACTTTGTGTAGATAGCTATGAAAGATCAACATTTTCTGGTAAGAAGCAAGGTTTTTCAACCTTTAAGGCCAATTATTTAGAAATGTTAATCATTCAAGTCTACTTTTACCATTTCTTTTACAATAGGGCTTGTGGCATATGTGAATTCATATCAACATTTTGTGTTGAAAATTTCAAATCATGACCTCCATTGTAATTGGAATGGGCACTTAATCTCTGATTAATTTCTTTCACTAGTCTTTTCGCTTAGATATAGGTGTCAGAGTGAAGTTACCATCTATTATGATGTCACCATCAATTGTGATGTCATCATCTATTGGTTGGCCATTGACTTTGTGTGCAGTAACTATTCGTGTGTTTTCTTCCCCTTTAAGATGTATCAGATCAGTTTGCATCACCCTTGAAGAAAAACAATATTAAAACTGTTGAAAATTTTATCTTTAACAATCATAATCATGAAAAAACAATTAGAAATTTGTTTATTGTTCAAATACTTGATGACTGGGAATGCAAACTGGTTTTATTGATACAACCTCAACCTCTCTGTGTGATTCTACTTTCCTGATTTGATTGCAATCTTAACATTTTTACCTTATTTGCCTGTTAGGAATCCCTGAAGAAACTGATGTACAATCTTTATAACACTCACCCCCATTTTGTACGTTGTATTATTCCCAATGAGGAAAAGGCGCCAGGTAACCAATTATTTAGTTACCATAGCAATGGTTTGCCTAGCAACAGTGGCTTTAGCCATGGCTTCAGACTGTTGTCATTCCACATTAGTGCTTCATTTCGGGCAGATTACATCAGCGCCTTTTCTTGCATGGTGTGCTCCTTTTCCCATATCATACAGAACTCACCTTCAGTCAAAACCAGGAACCACTTTGCATCTAATCCATGTTTTCAACTTTATTAACATTGTGTGAATAATACTCTCACTTTCTCTTGTAGATTTGGGTGTAGTGTGTAGCTACCAAATTTGAAACATATTCAACGTTTGAATTGTGCTCCTTTGTTAAAAACCTTTTGCATTTCTACAAAGTCAGTGTGTCTTGAAAAGAAAATGATAGAATCATGAATTTTTGATTTTCTTTCAGTACAGATTTGACTTCATATGCACGAAGGATCATTGAATGACATTATTTCTTCTAGAAGCTCATACATTTCGTTGACACTCTTTCTTGAGTAAAACATGATTCAAAGCATTATATAGATAATTGTCATGTTCAATGATCATTCAAAAGGTATTTTCACTAATACAAAGCTAGCTGCATATGAATTATGCAAAAGAGCAATTCAGTTTACATTGCTCCGAACCAAGCTGGCTAGTTTGAAAATCTCCATATTAATTGTGTGATTTTGCATGGTGTGCTCTCCCGGTAGGAATCCCTTAAGAAATTGATGACGAACCTACGCAGCACAAGTCCCCACTTTGTCAGGTGTATCATACCTAATGAAGAAAAAGAGCCAGGTAAAGCTAAATAAGGCTTAAGGATGACTCTTATTTAAGGCTTTATTCTTAATTAAGGCTTCACTTAATTAAGGCTGATTGGTCTTGTTGGTATCTTAATAGTGTAGGTCTCACGTAACCACATGAAGCCTTCATATTGACCATTGGTGAAATTGTCATCGATATCTAGTGGTGTGACACCTTCACATAGATTCCATCACTGTGACTCTGTGCATGGTAACATTATCGAAAACCAAATTCAAAATATGATACCATATACAGATGCATCAATCAGCACCAGGCTCATAGTATAAGGCAGTTATGCGTAGTTGAAGTCTAATTTCCTAATATAAATAAAGTTCTTTAGTACTATGACTCAACTCTACAATCAAAGCATGTCTTAACTCTTACATATCTACCAAAGTCTGTATCTGTTTCCTAGCTCTTCCAATCTCTTGCCATTCCCAAGTCATGTGCTTCCATTGTATGTCGTAGTCGTACTCAGGTATCCAAGGCATGTGCATGTCATTTGTCAGGCTCAATAAGATTTTCCTTGTCCTCCATCAGAACTACATGTGCATGAATATTTCCATTTCTTGTATCCTAAACATGTGTATATTTTATAAACTCTATGTAGACTAGATAGTACCCTTTCACCACTGTGTATGTTGTAACTGTTTCTACCATGTATTTTGTATGTAAATCTTTCACACTGTTAATGGATTAAATCATTTCATTCAAACATTCAATACAATAAATGTCTTTAGATTCATTCCTAGTTATAGAGAACCTAATTTGATGAATGCCACATGTGTCCAAAACTTTTGACCGTTACATAAATGTGTCCACCCTTAATATTTAGGTTTGATCGACGCCGCTCTCGTACTTCACCAGCTCCAGTGTAATGGTGTACTTGAGGGTATCCGTATCTGTAGGAAGGGATTCCCCAGCAGAATGATCTACTCTGACTTCAAGCAGAGGTTAGTATTGCTACACAAACAAGCAGAAAACTTGATCACTTTCCCAAAAAGCTCCATTCTGACATTTGTTAAGAGGTTATAATTGTTAAATGAACCCAAAAGAAAGACTCAAGTGCAAAGTAAGAGATTCAAAAAAATAGTTTAGATATATCACTTGCTTGAACATTGTACCTCCTTATAGCTAGATTTTATATTAAATGCTCCCTCTCTCTCTCTCTAGATACTCCATCTTGGCTGCCTATGCTATCCCCGATGGATTCGTTGATGGTAAAGTCGTCACAGATAAAATCTTGACCGCACTTCAGATGGAAGCCAACGAGTTCCGTCTTGGTATCACCAAGGTCTTTTTCCGTGCTGGTGTGCTCGGTCAACTTGAGGATATGCGTGATGAACGTCTCGCCAGAATTGTATCCATGTTCCAGGTTTGTGCTATTTCTTCACTGGCCCTAACTATGTTTAAGTTGTTAAATATTAGTACCAAAGCAGAATAATACTAAAACTTATCATTTTAAATCTTTTTCACATTTATAATATTTTCAATTGTTTTCAAAAGATGTCTCTGTTGTATTACAGGCCTGGATCCGTGGTTACCTCATGCGTCGTGATTACAAAAAACTCCAAGATCAGCGTGTTGGCCTTAGCGTCATCCAGAGGAACATCCGTAAATGGCTGCTCCTGCGTAACTGGCAATGGTGGAAGTTGTACACCAAAGTCAAGCCTCTTCTCAATGTTGCCCGTGCTGAGGATGATATGAAGAAGAAAGAGGAAGAACTCGAGAAGGCCAAGGAAGAGCTGAAGAAACTTGAAGGTTACAAGAAGGAATTGGAAGAGGCCAATGTCACCCTTCTCCAGGCCAAGAACGATCTTTTCCTTCAACTCCAAGCCCAAGAGGTATTATGTTCACCAAAATGTAGCATCTTATTGGTCAATAGATGTCATGAAATCATTCTTTTGGTGGTATTTCGGTTTTCTAAAGAGGTGTTTCCTTAGATATTGGAGGGTGTTGAAGTTATTTGATGACACCTTCTTGCAGCCTCTTGAGATTTGATTGGTCGTTCTTCTGACCATTGTCAATTTTATGTAAATTAGCCCTATAGGCTCCTATGAGACTCATGTGAAAGTGATGATAGCTCAATGAAGGTTTGTTGAGCTTATCTATGCAGTCTTATAGGTGTAAAAGTCACACAGATAAGGCTTGTCATCTATCGAATATAATTTATCATAATGACCTATTGGGACGTTTCTCAAGTCTTTGTACAATAAATATTGTCTTTTCGTGTTTTAATCTATCATTGATGTCATTTTATTGAGGTATCCTTGAATGTAGCATATGTAGTGGACGAGGCTTAGAATGGTTCACAGTATACATTAGTGCAATATTAGCCATACAATATACCTGGTTTAACACATGGACTCTAGAAAGTGTTTGTACATTTACATGTACTGTTGTATAGTTGTTGAAATTATTGATAAGCTTTAACATTTAATTGGAATTTACATCATTGGACAAAGGATTATGTTATGGATTTGAAATAGATTCATTGATAAAGTCAAGATGGGTGACCAAGTTATGCAGAATCACATACCTCAGACTCAGGTGGGTTCAATATAATAAGAAATATTCAAGATATTCACTTATTTGTGTCAATTACATGATTGGTGTCATATTGTATGATTTATGAGCACTGACTGTGGCATTTCTGGAATGTCTCCTGCATATTTCAACTCATGAGTGTTTTGATGTGTCTATTAAAGATTAGTTTATGTATATATCTTGTCTCTGAGGTTGTCTCTGTGGTTGCTTTGGTACATATTTAAGTCAATTGGAATGCAGTCATTGATCATGTCTATATTAGTATTTCTATAAAAAATTTGACTGATCAGCATAATTTTCTGGTATTTCTATACACTTTGGAGTATTGACAGTGTACTCCATCAATTTATTCTTTGCTCATTTCACCTATTTTCACTTTATGTTGCAATTGAAAAATTGCCATGGTGACATTTGTATTGATAGGGAGTTCTACTGTTCATAATTAGTGGCTCTTGTGGTGTCACTTACTATGCGCTCTTTGGTCTGTATTCATCATTGATTATTTACAACCTCTCAATATGCTAAAAGACTCAATGATGTAAATCTTATCTTTATTGCTTTGAGACTATTATTATCTTAAAGTGCACTTGCATTGTAACCAACACTAAATTAATTGGCAATTATTAATGAATTTTTGATAAGAGTGAATTTTTGTTTTAAAATTTGAATTTAAGCTAATTAAATCCAAAAGAATTGTAGACTGTGTTGGTTGAAAAATGTGATCATGCATTTACATTTGTTGTTATATTGCCTCTTGTGTGTAACTTCTGACTAAATCCTGCTTTTTGTCTTCTAGGACACCCTTGGGGATGCTGAGGAACGTATTGCTAAGCTCATCTCACAGAAGGTTGACTTTGAGGAGCAACTTAAGGCTCTTGAGGACCGTCTCCTTGATGAAGAAGATGCCACCGCTGCCCTTGAAGATATCAAGAAGAAAATGGATGCCGAGACTGATGAGCTGAAGAAGGACATTGAAGACTTGGAACTCTCCCTCCAGAAGGTGAGAATGCTTCACGGAAATTATGGGATGGGATGCTAATAAAATAAATTTAATAAGTAACTTCATCGAGTAATGCTCACCTATAATTATGTTAGAAAAAATACAGCACAATACAATGATTATATTTTTTGAATTGTTTATGTAGGCTGAACAAGAAAAGAAGACCAAGGACAACCAGATCGCCACCCTCCAAGGAGAGATGGCCGCTCAAGATGAGCAGATCGCTAAGCTTGGCAAAGAAAAGAAATCTCTTGAAGAGAACAATGCCAAGCTCCTTGAAGACCTCCAGGCTGAAGAAGACAAGGTCAACCACCTTAACAAACTCAAGAAGAAACTTGAGGACACTTGTGATGAGCTTGAGGACAACCTTGAGCGTGAAAAGAAGGCCAGAAGCGATGTTGAGAAAGTCAAACGCAAGCTTGAGGGTGACCTTAAGATGACACAAGAAACAGTTGATGACCTCGAGAGAGTCAAGCGTGATCTTGAAGAAGGCATCAGAAGGTAAGACACTGCTGCCACCTAGTGTTTGAATGTCTAAATTTGTACTTTGGCAGTTCTCTTGTAGTAGTGCCTGATATATGAACTCGCAGAACAATTTAATCTAAATACATTATGTAAATTGATAGGGTTGAATTTCAATATTTGTTTATCGTAATATGACTAATGAGTTTATCTGAACAGTGTCAATAAGTTTGCATTTCATGATAAAGCTGTGCATTGCGATATTGGGCCTATCTCTTTGGCACTTCAAAACAAAGAACTGACGTAATGACAACCGTTCTATCTTATCTGTATGTTCATGTAGAGGTCTCAAGATACCAACATAAGCATGTTGAAATGAAACTGATCATAGATATGTGATTTATACACATACTTGTGACTCTAAGTTACAATAAAGTGATTACATTGGTGGTTACTATGATTGTTTTCTCATTAAGGAACCCTTGAGCTCTAAGGGAGAAGTACCAAATGTGTCACCTCTGGGTTAAACTGTTCATAGGTTTTTCTTAATGACAAGTCACTTTACTTTGAGTATTAAAAAGGCTTTGAAGCTAAATGATGTACAGTTTTAACTGTTAGAGATAACTGAGCAATGCTGAGTACATTTAGCTGACACAGTTTCGTAATGTACATATGTACATTGATAAACTTCAGTGTTGGTGTGAGATTCTAAGTATGTGTAGATTCAGCTATTCAGTCATAATCACACTACAAACAATCTACATGTAACATTTATATAACAATTATACATCATGGAAAATTCAGATAACTTTGATATTGATGGGCTAAAGCAGAAACCATCAAGGACAGAAAGGAAAGAATCTCTTTTTTCAAAACTCAAAAGTCATTTCATGAGCGATTCAACACCAAACCTGGCAGCCGCACGCTACCAGTCAACCCCTGATCTTTCGGGGAATTCTGGGGCTGGGAGTAATTTGGCAAATTTTCCGAGTGAATCTACTCCAAATTTAAGCAAGATTGAAAGCTCAGATGATGAAGAGGCTGAAGTTTGGTTGCCAAGACATTCAAAGACTAATCAATCAACCAAAAATGACAAAACAACCAGACGCAGCCAATCGAGCAATCTAGAGAGAACAGTCAGTGAATCCGTGCCAAATGTTTCTACTCGAAGATCAGGTCATCGGAGAGAATCAGAAATAGACCCTCTTCGCAATGCAGCAGCCGCGTCACCGCTATCTCCCACCCCTAGTTATTCTAGCACCTCACCCTTGGAGAGCTACACTCCATACACACGGAGATACTCTTCTCGACCATCACTGACAGGATCAGTGACATCACAGCGAAGTTTGCGAATTCGGAGCTCACTTACGGATACACCCGATTGGACTAAAAATGTGTGTAATTTGTGTTATAGGAAAGATATGGAGATCAACTCACTCAACAACAAACTTGAAGATGAACAATCTCTTGTTGCCCAGCTCCAAAAGAAAATCAAAGAACTCCAGGTATGTACACTAACATCAACTTTGATGCTACAAAATATGGCATCAATCTCCAATTTAAAATATCAGAACTAAAAATGTTATTTTTGGATATATTCTGACTTTGAGCAATGTGTGTGCAATTTGTGGTTATTTTAGGGCAGAATGTGTGTACGTATGTGTGAGTCATGTTGGACTGTATATCCTCTAGGAGTCTAAAATTGAGAATAATGTCTCAATTTGCAAGTGTTTTATCCTGAAGCAAAGCTATAAAAGTCAATATCATCTTACAATGCTTCCATGTATACCTACACTATGGCTACTTGATTAAATCTCGAACACCCCTTGAAGTGGAATGGTATGGCCTGATTAAATCTGGAACACCCCTTTAAGTGGAATGGTATGACCTAGAATGGATGGATTGAGAATGAAGTTAATGGCTTATGAATGTTCCTTGTGTTATCCTTTCTATGTTTACTATATCAACATATTAAACTTGTACCTTTTTCTTTTCTAACACCTTAGCCTCCTTATACTCATAAACACTGGTATTTATGGCATATTATGGGATCTATTTTTATAATATGTCATAAACCAGGGGAGTATATGTGAGATATTTTACTGCAGTGAAATAAAATGTTTTCTTCCTTTACTAACATCTTGTGTTCAATCTGTGTTCTTTCCACCAATATTCTCCATTATGAACTCAATTCAGTTTTCATAATTCATTTTTGTTACATATACACTTTCTATGCTCTTGTGTTTACTCTGTACTGCTGTTTTCCCATTGTGGTGAGCTACCTCCTCCCATTTTATACCCTAAAACACACCTCTGACAGAATCTAGAAATTATGGGCAATTTTCTGAAGGATGCATTTTGGAATTATCTTAATGTTGATACCACCACCTAAATCAGTCAATATATATTTTGTTTAATTTATGGTCAAGACTTTGCTCGTTGTCCCAGTATAAATCTAAGGTACCCATTAGCTTAGGCCGATTTGTGGCATTTGGAGGTGATAGTCCTACTTGGTCTAATATATGATGCCATAGCCTTGGTTGCTGTATACTAAACTTAAAAAATGAAAACTATCACTCTATCTTTGAATGTACATTTCTCATTACATCTCATTACAAAGTATTTAAAGAATTTATGTCTTATTTTTAATCATGTTTACTAAAAAATATTTATACCTAAATTGGTTTTGAAGTAAGTTTATAAAGTAGTAAGTTTTCGTTAGTGTCTCCAATTTTATGTCTCTTTGAAGTTTTTCTAATTTCAATTTCAATATTTTATCTGAGAATTATATATCCATATTCAGAATTATATACCAACTTCCAAGGCCCTGAATCTGAATATTTTACTGATAAATAAATCTTGTATCTCTATGAACAATGCATGTTATCTAGTTAATATTATGTTTTGAGTCTCAAATGAAACTGTAACACTATTCTGTAGGTATCTTATCTACTATGCCCCTTGTTAGCATGCGTGTATTTTACAATTGTAAAGTCAACACTTACCCCTTGAGTTTATATATACTCTATGGCCATGATCAAACTTCAGATATCAAATTGACATCGAGCGATAGAATACATGAAATCTTTACATTTTGTACATCTGGGGACTTGAAGATCTGAAAATATCAGATTTTATTAATACACAAGAATCATTAGTTAAAAACACAGGCTTAATTTGGATTTATTCATACTCAAATGGCAAATGCATACACACAGTTCAAAAGGTAATTTATGTAAATAATCGCTACATGATTTTAATCACCTAGTAAATCATATATATTGTTTTTAAGTATTAATGAAAAATTGTTGAATTGTTCAGATAGATAAACTTTGCTTGCAAAAACTACACCAGGTGTTTTGTGTATTAGAGTTATCATCAGGAAGATCCTATCAAGATTCAAGATGCTACATTTCATACCAAAACAGTTCCCTCTAGTTACAATGAAATCCTAACAAATGAATCACATCTCAGTTTCTGGAAGGTTTCTATAATTTCTTTTATCAACTTCCAAGGTCTAAATGCCAGATTCAAACTTTGCATCTTGGTTGATTATTTGTTTTACCAGATTGTTGATCAGCATTTTTAGGGTCATGTGTTGGAGCCTTTGGATTAACATCATTATTTTTTATCAACTTTGCAGTGCCTCCCTTATCAGAAAGTTAATTGTGTCATTCTGAACCCATTATGTAACTTATTATGGAGACTGTTTTAAGTTGGTCTGTCTTTAAAGTAATTGAATCTCAGAGTCTAGTTATTGGCATCAAAAGAAAACTATTGGAGAGGGTAGTCTCCATGTAACACATGACAGATTGAAGAGTGCCTGCCTTGATAATAGCTACATGTTATTGAGACACAATTGATCACAATTGAGTGGGATGGCTTAGGATGGAAACTGCACTTGTGGGTTGATATGGTAGTTAAGTACTTTGTGGTTCACTTCAACATCATGTTTTAGTCTCTTTTTATGTAGTAATCACCTCAAGTGCTTCGCATAGACCTTTAATCTGCAACATAGACTGAAAACATTGACTTTTATGACCCCCGTGTTCTGTTCTATTACAAATCGCTGATTATACAAAACACCTTTGATTTTAACAATTTGAAATATCACTTTTTCATTTTGAAACCAAGTCTCAAGCAAGCATTGTCTCGCATTTCGTAACATTGTTTCTTGCCAAAAGTGGAAATACACCAGGTCTGACTCACCAGACTGGTAGTAAATATGTGGATTGACGATGACATTTTGATGAATATGAGTTGAATTACCAGCCAGCATACAAGAGCAGGATTAAATGTAACACTGCACAGTTTGAACAATTACGGAACAACAATTTCAGATTCCGATATCATTCATGGAATTAAACATATTTTAAGCAACATTCGTGAATGAAAAAGACATTTACATAAATAAAAGGGATTATATTTTGGACTGTGTGTATCATTTGCCTGTTTGAATAGTCAACTTGAGAATATCATGGATCGGGAAAGAAGAGCTGAAGTTCAGAGATTTTTGGTATGTTATTTCTTGTAAGTATGTTCAATTTACATACTATTCTAATACATAAATTACACATCCTCTTAGTAATGTTCAAGTAGCCACTATATAATTGCTCACATGTAGATTATAAATGTTTGTAATTTATGAAGACTTGCTTTGATATTGATTGTAAATTGAACCTAGCCCTGTATCTGATCATGTCAGTGTCCTCTTTCTAAGGACTTTATATTTCACCCAATTTGACTACTGTATATTGAAAGATCTGCTTTATCTCCGATCTTCATCTTAGATGTTAAATCAATTAGACCAGGTACTCCCCCAATCAGGAAATTTGATTCTCTTCCACAAAATTACTAAATATTTGAGCTCCTGAAAAATAGGAGTTCATTGGTTATAATCAATAAGACCATTCATCTTCAAAATAGATATCAATATCAGAATCTCCTTAAAAGTTCACATAATTATGATTATGACAAATAAATCCAACGCAAAAAATCACTTAAAGTTGTTTAGGGGTTTGTTTACAGAAAGGTTAGCCATTGACTGGTGTGTGTTACAACAAAGTAAAAAAAGAGATTTGCTTTATAAGGATAAGGAATCCCAGTTGAGGTTCTGAATGACCAAACTCTGAATCACTTCATTAAACCTCCAGATTTCAGAGGCCATATGCTATCATATTGTTGAGCTTGGATAAAAATAGCTCCTGTGTTTTTTAAAAGTGCAGTGCAAAACCTCAGGTAAAACTGTAGTATTTCCTTGAAATTTGGAAAATATTTGTGGTGAAGTTGTACATCTGTGTCTAGCATTATAGTACAGGGAGTTCAGAAAATATTTCAAACATAATCATATTACATATTTTATATTGCAGAAATGCCGCAATTGTTTTGTTACATCCATTACCAAAAACCTCAAATTAAAATGTTACTTAATTGGCCTCTGATAGTAGTTTGAACAACCAAAAACTGGTGTTAACAGCTTTATGTAAATAATTTACAGAAATATCAGAGTTGAAATCAGATATAATAGGTTAGGGTCACCTTTTCAGTGGCAATTATCTAGAAAGCTTTTCTATGGCATCTTCACTTAACATTATAAGTCTGTCTATGGTTTTTCTTGAGAGGTTCTCTGAATCAGAATACTGATCTTGGCTCAGATCTAGCATTACTTCATACTTCAAAGTTAAAAATAGCAGATAAAGTGCCAATTGTTTCTCCACTTAATCCCTATCTTACCTGCATGAAGCATACCTCATACAACGAGCCCTGGCATAAATGTATTGTTCTGACGTCTGTTCTTATTTCACGCTGGCTGTTTTTGGCTAATTATCCAGATAATCCATTTTTCAGCCGGCTTCTAGAAGTTTTTTATGTGAGCCACTTGTATTGCTTAGAAATGCTGATGAGTTCATTTGTGAATTTTTTGTAATGGGTTCCCTAGCCAGGTGTGCTTATCTGAGTTAATTGTTAGGACATGATACCTAAACAACAGAGTTTGGATTGGCACTTCCAATTTATATTCTCCAAATTCCTTTTCACTTTTTAGTAACCATAAGAAGGGGGATAGGGGGGGGGGGGGGTAAGAACTTAGATAAGATATTTGATTTCCTTACAAATAAATAGGTTTCATTTTGTGCCTTATTGCATCAATTTTGTAGAATATCCTTGGGTTTTCATGGTTGTTAATGAGGAGATATTGGTTCAGGTATTTTTTGTATTATTGTACTGTGGGACAAGGGGGATTCCAAGGCTATGTTGACCTGATTGATGTTTTTGTATTTTGTCTGACTAAGCTGTAGCATCCTCACTCCTTTTTTGGAACATCTTACCTTTTGTCTGACCTTTCCACCACATTCTTGAATGTCTATAAGAGTTTGCATATAGATTGTTGTGTCATTGCCTCATGAGAGTCTATCAGTTAGTCTCTGGCACACAGTGAGAAGGTTGGAGATTGTTTGAGGCTTGAGTGGTTTGGTGTTGTTAAGTTTGTACCTGAGGAGCAGTCAGTACTACCTTTGCTAGTACGGGGAGTTGAGTCCCTTGGATATACTACATCATCATACACTAACACACATAGTGGACTATACACACACAAGGTCTTTGCAGGATTTCGGATATACGCTACAGGATTGAGGGATCCCTTTAGCGTACACTCAGGGAATATTGCATTTATTTTGTATTGGATTATTGTATAGTGGATTAGTATATAATGGAAGGTGAGGATACCCCAGTGGCAGTTGAGCCTACTAAGGAACCAACACCTCCACCCCCCAAGGAACCTACTCCTCCTCCAAAGGCTGCTTCACCTCCACCCCCTAGAGCTGCTACACCTCCTGCTGCCAGAGCTTACTCCCCTCCACCAAGGAGATTGAGCCCTACACCCCCAAGGAAACCAGCTACTCAGTATCGCTCCGACACCGAGGTTGAAGATATCCTGGCGCGGGCAAAACAAATGTCCCACCCTGGCTACAAAGCAACAGTCGCTACCCCTCCAACAATCTCAAGTTATGATGTAGGGCTCGATAGAAAATATAACATTCACTCAATGGCAGATGAATACCTGCGTGAAAAATCTAGTTACTATTCGACTTCTAAAATTTCGGAGAGAATTGATAAGCATCCTCTTCTTACAAGAGACCCTCTCGGTTATGAGATTAATCCCAGGTCATCTGCCAAAAGTAAGAAGGCATTGAGGGAAGCTCAGGATATATTACAATTTAGCAACATCCCCGCTGGCCAAAAATGGAGAAAAATTTACGAAGTAGGCTAATACTAACCCCTATCATTTTTGTGTGTGTATGATTGGGTGAATGGTTAGAAAAGAGAAAATGTATGAATGTGCCAGAAATTGCAAGCAATTGCTTCAGAGTCAAATATTTTCTATAAAAGCTACACTAAACTAAAACAAAACATATTTACAACCATTCGGGTTGAATTTTATATAGGCATTTTATATATTACATCTTAAATCCACTAAAGATATTTTCATGAGTTCACCATCTTTTTTTCAGGCTCGCATTGAAGAATTGGAAGAAGAGCTTGAAGCTGAAAGGAGTGCCAGATCAAAGGTAAACAAATAAACAAACAACAAATACAAGCAATCAAAGAAGAAGAATGTGAAGAAAAAATCATCATGGCATATTTTCTTGATGAGTCTCATATTGTTTGTTCCAAAAGTACATCAAATGCCAAATACTCTGTACAAACCTATTTCTAGAATTCCAAGGCAATTTCTAATTTATAAATGGCAAAGCTGTGTCTCTTGAAAGAACATCTTGACATGTTTACTCTAGATGCTCAGTGGTATCTTGGAAATCTCATCACTTGGCTGATGTAGATATAAGTTCCCTATAGCTTTTCCAAATTGGCCAACTAAAACAATCCTGCCTGCTAAAAATAACATATAAGTTATGCAGCAAATCAACACAGTTTTCAACACCAGTTTTTTCCTAGAATCTGATTTGGTGTGAAATTGTATCCATTTGGTTTGCTATTTATAGCAACCATTGTGTACCAACCATCCTTGTATATCTTCATGGACATCAGTCCATTTGTGAATTGGTGGCCCAGTGCTCATATTTCATTGAAACCCAACTATTCTGGAAGTTTGTCTGTACATTTGGGTATTATGAGCCGATATGTGCTAATTTGAGAACAACAAGATATAACACATTTACAGACATAACATGCGTTTCAAGTATAATTTTGAATTTCATTTTTATCATACAAAGCGAATACCAAAGTAAGTCTAACTGAACTTCTTTTCCTTGAGTCAAATAAAGCTCAGACAGACAAACAATCTGGAAATAAACAGAAAATCCCCCTAAGGTATCTTAAGAATGTTTGATGAATCAACATTAGTTGAGTTACCTGGTTGTATTCCAATAAATCACCTTATAACCAACTTCATCTAGACAAATGAAAAATGGGAAAAATTGTGCAACTCCATTTCTAAATATAGCCAGGCAGGTAAATGATATCCCTATCTGGTTTGTTTCTAGATGGAGTCTGAGATTGCTGTGTTAACTGTAGAAAGCCCTCAGAACAACACAGCTGTGTATTCTAACTTACTTTCTCCATCTCTTATCTATTAATTTCTCTGAGATTTGTGGTATCTTTGTGCCCACAAAGCATGTCTATCTAAAATCAGACATTCCTCGAGCTGTTGTTAACAGAAAGGTAGACCATTTGGGGAACTACCTCTACCTCTTTGATTCATTGCATTACAGTCTCAGTCCTCTGCCATCAAAGCTAGCCTGCCAAGTTTATATTCAAAGATATATTTGATTCAATTGGGTTATTATTGAATTGTTCACATTGTAGAGTCTCTGACTTAGATGGTTCAATTCTTCATATTCTTCAGTGATAGCTTCTTTTGTCTTAACTCCACTAGGTTCAATGATGTATTATACATTGTCATAGAGAAATGCATTTTATTATACATTGTCAGAGAGAAATGCATTTATTTATCTTGCGGTTTTATTGTCTCATTGTAGGTTGAGAAACAGAGGGGAGAGTTGAACCGTGAACTCGAGGAGCTTTCCGAGCGTCTTGATGAGGCTGGTGGCGCCACCAGTGCCCAGGTGAGGAACCATTTGCATAACAACCATAAGTGTCAAATATGGTGACAGTCGGAAACTGACTACATTGAGTCATTGCGTTGAATCTTCACTTTTAAGTGTTGTATTTGCTCTCTCAAGTGAAGTCATTTTATTAAATTGATTGGTCATCTAACTTTTAACCACAAAACAATTTATTCATTCAATTGATGACAAGAGTCAAGTATGATGTCTTTTTGATCAGCATCCACTTATATTTCTATTCATTTTTTACATTCACTTTCAAAAAGGTCAAAACGCTAAACAATCAAACCACACTTGAAGAACCATTACTTGAAAATAAACCAAAACATTTCAAAAATTAGCAATTGATTTATACTTTATGATTTGAATGTAAACAGAATCAGTTGGATCTATAATCTTTATTCCATGTAGACAAATAAACTTGACATTTATTTTTGGTGAGTCAATATTGTTTACACATATTGAATGGGCTCTCAGAGATAATACTATTAGCTAATTATGGTTGCTAAACAATGAGGCTATTTTAGCTGTAAAACTCTATTATTTTAACTACACCTGTTAACGAGTGTTTAATTGTTCTCAAGTGTATGTCCAGGTAACCTCAACTTTTAAGCCTCAAGCTCATACATAGTGATGTGCTAATCTTGCCGGTATTTGTCTCTCATGTACGAATACTATTGTAGTATGTACTGGTTGTGCCAGCGGGCAAACTAAGAATGACACAGTGAAGTTATCTAGTGCGAAATAGCGTTATCTCGTCCTCATGGATTTAAAATGACAATCTTAAACTGTATGCATAATTTAGCTGTATAGTGTAATAATCTAACTATCACATACAAACAGACTCTTGAAGTCGTACAATATTATAATGCTACTTAATACTACTTCTACACAATGATGGATGTTTGAAATAACGCAAGAAATAATGGTGACTTGAGTGTTAAGAATATGGCAAGTGCTAAATCGAGTAAGTCAAGTATTACGGACTCTATCATCGAAGATGCCTGCGTTTGTGGACATGTCATGGATGAGATTTACTACGCTTTCTGGCAAAAAGAGGTGATAAAGATAATCGAAAATCAAATATATTTTTGAGATTTTAAGAGTCAGTCATTTAATTGGTTCAAAAATCAGGTTATACTAGTAGTTTGCTGTATTTGTGGTGTTATATTTTATCTTGAAGGTTTCGTTTTATTGTAGTTAAAGTTTAGCCAAGTACACTTTAGATATTGCACTCAAGTCTACATTTATTCTTTAGTTATAACCATATCACCTCTTAACTCTAAATATATGTCATAACAACAGGTTTTTAAGAGCTCAAAATCGTTTTTAAATAGAACAGAATTCTGATGAATTTATGTTTAATTTCTCTGATTTCAAACAAATAGATTCCCTTGAAAAATGTAAGCATACTAAATTCAAAATTGACACGGAGGATTACAGGGGACCGCATACCAATATGTATTGTACACTACATGTAGGTTAGCCTTGTCTACTGCTAGTAAAAATGTCTGATAGCCTATCAGAAACTGGTGTTCATTCCCTTATTTATTAGCAAACTAGATAACTTATCTCTGGTTCTCTGAGATTGTCTGTTAAACAATTATTTGTTCAATTAAAATTACCCCCTGAATTGGATTCAAAGAAATGATTTATTTTTAATAATAATTTTACTCACCAATTATTGTTTATTTTCTTCTTATTAAAGTTATATGAGGTGAAATATGTTATTGGTTAAATAACTCCAACTTTATACAAATATATGAGATTTCGTCCCTTAATTATAGATTCATGACATTTTGGCATGACATCTTGATGCAAATGTGGTCTATCTACCTTGTGAATCTTATAAATTCTGGTATAATCATAGCGTCTGATTTGTACATTGGATATATTGAATTCACAAAATGACCTCCACCTATCTGTTTCTAGGTTGAGTTGAACAAGAAGCGTGAGAATGAGATCCTCAAGTTGCGTCGTGACTTGGAGGAAGCCAACATCCAACACGAGGCTCAAATCAGCCAGCTTCGCAAGAAGCAGCAAGATGTCGCCAACGAACTTTCAGAACAGGTTGACCAATTACAGAAGGTCAAATCTAGGTACGCTATTTGAAAAAATCACAGATTTCTCCATAATTGTTTTGTATTGTAAGATCAGTGTTGTATCAGTATGTATGAAGTTATAGGATAACTTAAAATCATTAGCTATTTGGAAAATTATGAAAGAAACCATTGTACATGTTTCATTGCATGTACTCATGTCTTCAATTTAGTTCACTTTTAAATTTAGTTCTTTTAGCATGGAGCAAAGGAATGTCACTGTCTGTCATTAGAATACATTGATATCATTTTGTAGGGCAACAAATTCTTAGCAGCCTGTCAGCCACTATTTGATTATTTGTTTTTATTTTAGCTGTGCACCTGAATATATATTTCTGCTCTGCATTTTTCTCAGTCCTTTTCTTGTTCTTTCATATCTGTATCTAGTTCTTAGTTGCTTTAGTCTTGTTGCATTTTCATAGGTCTATGCTGCAGTTTGAGCTATTATGGGCTGCTCATGCGATGAATCTACTCATAGAAAACTCAATTTCTGCATCAATGTGTTTTGTCCTGGATGATACATTGCTTGGAGATACATGTATTAGTTTCAGATTCCTATGTTTATGCTAGAACTGCTTGTTTTGTTCTTGTTCTTGCCAGCTAGTTATCATCTCATTTCAACTTTCTTTTCAACTTCTGTCTTCTCTTCGCTTTACATTCTGCCTTATTTCAGAGTTGAGAAGGAGAAGAATGGACTTAAGAGCGAACTTGATGAGCTCCAGTCTCAAGTTGAACACGTAACCAAGGGCAAGGTAAACTTGTGTGCCCTTGTTTTACAATTTGTAACCCCTGAGCTCCAGATCTAGACCCCTTATAACACTACAACGAGGACTCCTTAATGTAACCATGAATCTGTGTTATCTCTATGGAGTTGACCATGACATGGTTGGTGACCTAACTAACATGGCTATACTATCAACAAGGCCCCACCCCCAGGGGCTCCTAAAACTTGATCCTCTGGGATCCTGTGAACCCCCTACACCCCAATCCAATCTGGAGCCAGGTTTGCATGTGATTATGCATGATCAGTGTGTGTGTACCTACTGTTTTTTAGGGTGGAAAAAGAAAGACAACAATTACAAATGGAATGTGAAGATCTTCTTAATAATTTGGACCAAGTTGAACGTTCAAAGGTAGAAATTAGAACCCATTTCGGGTGAATTAGTAAGGGCCTATTTTGGGGAAATATGAAAAATTGTCACATTTTTGATGCATGGGTGTATTGTGTTTCAGAATTGAGTTTTTGTTCATATTTTTGTGGCATCTTACTTCTGCTAATAAACAATTACAGATAAAACTTTTTAGGAACCATCTCAGAAATCTCTGCTAATATTCATTCTTTGGAAGTAAGATATCATAAAATATGATCCCATGTCTTTCTATGAATAACATTTCAACATCTATTTTTTGACTTATAACATATATTTCTCTTTAAATGCACTCTGTGAGATCTAAAAATATGACTCAATAAGATACCTTCATTGTTTCTTTTGAAAGTAACTTCTATTGCAAATTTAAAATTGTGCATGCCTATGAAATTGTACTATAATGAATTTGTTCTTATGCTTGACAATACCTCTTATTCCTTTCTCACCACACATAAAACATATCACCCCTGACATTTTATCTCACCCTCCACACAACCCAATCCTAGAACACTTTACCTTTTGATGTAATGGTGTCTTATGTGGTTTATGATTGCTTGAGCACTTTAAGTCACCAACATTCATATCACAATTTAATCCAAAATTTAAGAAATTACTATCTAATAACCTATCTTCCATCATTCAGTAGTTTTCCAAAAATTCATTTATGTTTTTCAAAACATCAGTTATTTTATAAAATTCATTCCACGATTCATCCCACATTTTTCCAAACATAAATCCATCATCATCCAATATTTATCCGAGATTCATTTCATATGTTTCCTCTTATTTATCATTATCATATATTTCCTGAGATTTCCCAAACAATCATGTTAGTTACTATGGTGATAGCTTTGAAAGAATGCTTTGGTATACCAATGTTGTCCATGTAGGAACAATTAGAAGTCAATGCATTGTAGTGAACTACATGTATACTACATGTATATTTTAGTAGAGTACATGTATATTGAAGTGTAGTACATGTATAGAGGTTTGAGTACATGTATAAAGTTTGGTATTTCAAAGCATGGTTTGATTGATTTCATTGAACGATATTTTATATTTTGCCATTGTGATTGCTCCATACCTTGGGTTTCCTTTAAATTTGGTGGCTTAGATTGGTGATTTAACCAACATTCTCTTCCTAGATTTGACGTGTTTAACCAACTTCCAAAATATCTTATTTCTTGTTAAAAGTTTGCAAACTAAAGAATTGAGAAACAAGGCTCTCAGTCTGTACCTTTGTTTAGTTAGCAAACTTTTTAACAAGAAAGGTCAATTTGAATATTGAGTTTTTTCACTGCTTAATACATCCTTCAATAGAAAAACTCAATACAAAGTTAGGGATGATAGAGAGTACTTATTACATTGTACATTTATATGACACACAAACCACCCAAGTTTTGGTTTACTTTGCACATTCATAGTATTACATATTCATTGTATTACACATGAATTGTATTACACATTCATTGTATTACACATGAATTGCAATGTATTCCAACTGAGTGAAGATGGGAGTTATACATCTGTACAGTGTGTAAGTCAAAAAAGATTTCTGAAATGTTTTGCAAAATATTGAAACAACATTCTATGTTTCCTTGTCTTCTTCCTATATTTCTTGCTTCTTGTACTGTCTTCAAATGGAAGATTTTCTTTTTCTGTGTCTGTGTGACATTCTATTTTCTTCAGTTCTGAAGATATTGCTATATCCTCATTTTTACTTTGGTCTACATTTCTCCTTGTCTCTGCAGCTCCTTACCTCTGTCTCTCTGTACCATCATTCCTCATCTCTTCTGGCTTGTGATGTCTTCCTTGTGAACCATCCTCACCTGTAAACCATTCTATTGTCTTTTCAGTTCACTGTTGATCTCCTATTTTTATCTTCTTGTCTCTTCCTTTATACCTTATGCTGTCCTGTTACTTTCCTGTTGCTTTCCTGTCTGTCAAGTGTCAATCAGTATTTTGCCAAATGGTTTTAGAAGTTTCTCAAGGGGCCCCTAAAATTCCAAACATATTTATTGGTGATTTAAGGGGTCCCATCCTCACGTAGGTCCATTGTGCTCACGAAGGTTTGCTTAGTAAACTGAGTCAAAAGTGAAAGGTGCACACAAATTCAGTTGGTTACAGAGACAATCAATCATTCAACATATTTTCTAATTATTACTAATCTAGTTTCATCAAAAAGTCATCCTCAACTAGCTCAAGCATCAGTTCAAATTACATACATCATATAAGTCAAGCAACTCAACATAATCACACAACTTTTATTACTCAATGCCCAAATAGTCCTCCAGTTCACAGAATATCGGTGACAAATGATAGAAAATTGTCAAAATTCCAAGCAAAACTGTTAAGTCAAATACTATAGTATAAAATCTTTGAATTATTTTGAACAAAACCTTTTAAAATACCTTTCTAAATATAGAACTCAGCAGAAAAGCTAAGCAAACAGTTGGAGAGTCAATTGTCTGAAGTGAATGCAAAGGCTGAAGACCATGCCAGAACCATTGCTGAACTCAACTCTGCAAAGGCCCGTGGAGCCCAGGAATCCACAGACCTTGGCAGACAGTTGGAAGAGGCTGAGTCCGCCATTGGACAACTCACCAAACAAAAAGCCAAACTTGCAGCTGAACTTGAGGAAGCCAAGCGTGCCCTTGAAGATGAGACCAGGGTATGTAGGAGTGTGAACTGATTGTGAACTTTCAAAAATTGCTGAATAATACTGTAATAATAACTGTATTTTCATTATGAGCTCTTAATTCATTGGCAACAAATATTTATAGTTCTCTCTTTAATATTTTGTAAAGGGAATTTATGTTTATAAATCTTCACATTCCAGGCTCGCCAGAAGCTCAACAATGAATGCCGCAACCTCCAAGCTGATTGCGACCAACTCCGTGAACAACTTGAGGAAGAAGCTGAGGGCAAATCTGACCTCACCAGACTCCTCCAGAAGGCACAGGCTGAGGCCCAATCCTGGAAACAGAAATACGAAACTGGTGGCGGTGCCAGCACAGAAGAACTTGATGAACTCAAGCGCAAGATGGGTGCCCGCCTTGCCGAGGCTGAGAGCAACCTTGAGGCAGCCCAGTCCAAGGTGGCTAGCTTAGAAAAGACCAAACACAGACTCTCTGGAGAACTTGAGGACCTTATGGTTGATGTTGAGCGTGCCAACGCCAATGCTAACCAACTTGAGAAGAAACAACGCCAGTTCGACAAGATCATTGAGGAATGGAAAGCCAAGGCCAGAGACTTGGAACAGGAATTGGAGGTTGCACAGAGAGAGGGCAGAGGATACTCTGCTGAAGTTTTCAAACTCAAAGCTCAGCTTGAAGAGTCTCACGACACAATCAACGCTGTGAGGAGAGAAAACAAGAACCTTTCTGGTGAGCCAATTCTTCTTCATTATGCCGTAGTTCTTTGGAACATAACATAATATTTTGATGATAATCATATTGAGCAATCAGTCATTCCACATTGTTTATAATTTTTACATGGTTACCAATTCAGTAATCATAATATTCAATGTTTGCAGAGGAAATCCATGAACTGACTGAGCAATTGAGCGAAGGAGGCCGCAGCGTACATGAGGTTGAGAAGGCCCGCAAGAGACTCGAGTTGGAAAAGGAAGAGCTCCAGAGTGCCCTAGAGGAGGCTGAAGCTGCCCTGGAAACAGAGGAGGCTAAAGTCATGCGCTCTCAGCTTGAACTTTCCCAGATCAGACAAGACATCGACAGACGTCTTGCTGAGAAAGATGAGGAGTTTGAGAACACCCGGTATGATCTTGTTCTTTGTGCCTGTCTCAACATTTCATGTGGATTCTCATGTGGATTCAAAATTCTAATTCACGAAATTGACACAACTGCTTACTTTTGTGTATGCATACTTTTATTTGGAATCTTTCTCTTGCAGTCGCAACCACCAGCGTGCCATTGACAGCATGCAAGCATCTCTTGATGCTGAGACCAAGGGCAAGGCTGATGCCATCCGTGCCAAGAAGAAGCTTGAGGGAGACATCAACGAACTTGAGGTCGCTCTAGATGCTGCCAACCGCATCAAGGCTGAGGCTGAGAAGAATGCCAAGAAGTTCCAACAACAACTCGGGGAGATGCAATCTGCCATTGAGGATGAACAGCGCAATTATGCTGATGCCCGTGAGCAGTTCCAGATGTCTGAGAGACGCTGCAACATGCTCTCTGGTGAGGTTGAGGAACTCAGAACTTCCCTTGAGGCTGCCATGCGCAACCAGAAATTGGCTGAAGGTGAACTCCACGAGGCCAATGATCGCATCAATGAACTCACTCAGCAGAACTCTTCCATTGCCTCCCACAAGAGGAAACTGGAAGCAGATGTCACTGCTATGCAGGCTGACCTCGATGACCAGGCCAATGAGATTAAAAATGCAGAAGAGAAAGCCCGCAAAGCTGCTGCTGATGCTGCCAGACTCGCTGAAGAACTCAGGACAGAACAGGACCACAGTGCCCAGATTGAGAAGATGCGCAAGTCCATGGAGAACCAAGTCAAGGAACTGCAGATCCGTGTGGATGAAGCTGAGGCATCAGCCCTCAAGGGAGGCAAGAGAGCTCTTGCCAAGCTTGAACAGAGAGTACGTGAATTGGAAGCTGAATATGACGCAGAACAGCGCCGTCACCAGGAGACTTTGAAGAATGCCCGCAAGGCCGACAGACGTCTCAAGGAGCTTGCCTTCCAGGCTGATGAGGACCGCAAGAACCACGAACGTCTGCAAGACCTTGTTGACAAACTCCAGAACAAGATCAAGACATACAAACGCCAAGTTGAAGAAGCTGTAAGTTCTAAATATTCAAAGATCTCTACAAACATAGAAAAATACAAGTATAGGAACAAAATCATGTTTGCTTTCACTATCTATATAGTTTGTTGAATATCATAATAATTCAATGTTCATTCATGCTTGCAGGAGGAGATTGCAGCTATTAACCTCGCCAAATACCGCAAGGTACAACACGAACTCGAAGAGGCTGAGGAGAGAGCCGACCAATCAGAACAGGCCCTCGCAAAACTACGTGCTAAGAACAGGAGCTCAGTGTCTGCCAGCCGAACTGGGGTATGGGACGATTATACATTTGAAGACAATTATTAAGAAGATTTAGGATATGGTAATTAGGGCTCAATTCTACATTGAACATGTGTGGCAACCCTTTTTAATGTGCACCTTTATTCATCCATGTGGATCAGTGGATCTTTCACCTGAATGAATTCTGGTATACACTCTGAGATTCTTCAATCACCCAATGTCGCTAATAGAGCTAAACTTTAATGTTTTCTCAACAACTTTGTCAACCATTCTCCTCCAAATACATGTTTGAGTTATGTTGGACCCCTGAAGTTTCTATTGGTATGTACCACCTTTTGACCTGTTGTGCAGTGTTGATTGGGGCACATTGAATAGTTGTTTCAGGGGTACTGAAATTTCTCCCTGAATTTGCCTAAAACATGTTAATGCTGACTATAACCCTAGTTATCATACCCTTCTCAACTTCCCATTTCAATCATTTCTCTAACAACATGAATAACAACTGTGAGAATTGTTAGGAAATGATTGGAAAGGAAAATGAGATTGATGCAATGTACAACATTGTGTTAATCGAAACCTGGAAGAAGTTGAGCTTTAGAGGTCTGATATGTCACCTACATATTCTGCTTGACATTTAATACCAAAAACACAATCTGAATTTAGTATTTAAAATTAAAGTTTCACCTAGAAAAATGTATCTGTATATCTTTAATTATTTTTATGTAATTCCTCTGTATGCTCTCTGCACATTCTTTTTCTTCACCCCGAACCTGAGATCTGATCTGAAATATAGAGCTCTCATTATTAATTCCTTTTCACATTTCAGATTTTATTTCCTCGAAGCCAGGAAGAAACTGTTGTTAAACTATAATATTTGATAACATGTTAGGTCTCTGTTGCCAGGAAGAAACTGTTGTTGAAATATAATTAAATGCTCCACTTGCATGGCAATAAAAGTAGTGAAAAGGCACATATCCTTCTGTAAACTATTTCCTTTCTGACTAAAGCTTTGTGTAGAAAGTAGTTCCCTATGACTTTGTAGATTAGATCACTACAATGATAAATCTTGTACATTAACTTAGTATTAGTTTTACTCTTCAAAACTTTATTTCCTCTTCTCTATTCAGTCTTATACACAGTCTCAAAAATTGCTTCAATTTGGAGTGAATTTGGGGCAGTGCACTAGACTATACCTTTGTTAGTTGTTTCATTTCTGCTGTGCATTTCTCTTGTAGTCTACTCCACCTGTTTAAGTCTTCTTCATCTTTACCTACCTTAGTGTATAGACTTTGTAAGTACATGTCCATGAAACATGTGCACTGCACCCCCTTTCTGCACCTTATTAGCTTTGTGTTACGCTTGTGTTTACTGCTTCATGAAGAGTAAATATATCATTTTAGTTACATAAGATATATGATGAATAAAAAATGAAAATTGAAGCAGTAAACTAGATCCAGGTACTGTTCATGATATGATATTCCAGCTGTACTTCATTAACAACCTTTATGTGATGACCAGGATGGCCACCACACCATGATTAACAATCTTCATGTGGTGTCCAAGATGGCTACCATCCCTTATTAACATCCTCCAACAGGTGTCCAAATGGCCACCATTCTTTGATTAACAATCATTTATATTTCTCCACTAGGGAGTTTCTTCGTCTACACCAATCCGCTCCGCCCGAGCTGGTTCTTCTACTTAACTCTTCTCTAACGAAGGTAACATCATAAATACATCCCATTATAGTAATATAATAGCTTTCGCATGATGACACTGACAAATCTGTGCATTGTCTTTAGGTCTCATACGCTCTGCCTCTTGTAAAATCACACCTTGATGGTATAACACAGTGTCTTGGATTGCCTGTGTATGCCATCACTGGTAGAATGCCATGATGCTTTTATTTACACTAGGGAAGTTAGGAACATCACAGCTGCATAGAATATAAAACTACTACACCAAAACTGCTTTTATAATTTCTAGCTTTTATTTTCATTCGTATGTAGGAATTGTAGGGTCGATAAATGTGGTCACATTAAAGCATTATTTTTAATACCTATTCATCCATTAATTAAAGCTTGAACTACATGGACCATAATTTGAATTATATTTTGTTCATTGGATAAGTTGTCATTTAGAAATAATGCTTTTTAACCACAAATACATTGCTGCACATCATTGATGGATTTTTAGCTGGCTGCTTTTGATTTTTCGCCTGACTGATTATGTTTTGTCTATAGAGTGATATTAAGGGTGCCACCGCAAGTCTTAAAATGTCTTCCATGAGACGATCATTTAAAGCATCTCACTCAGCGAGCACGTCTGATTAACAACTTATTAATTCGTAAGTCCCAGTCATACAGCGCTGCCATCTGGAGGACTCCGCATGAACTATTTATTTCAGTAGATAGAGTTATGCTGATATGATTGACAGACATGTGTAATTGTTCGGTTGAGATTCTTCAAAAATGCTGCACTTTTTTTCATTGTCTAAACATGGACTAAATTCAGTCCTTGAGTAATGATCAGTTTTTATACTGAAAAAATTTCAAGTTTTCAATGTGAATCAGGGAAGAGAATGCAGTATAAAGTGAAGTTTCTCAGTGCTTTTTTCTTAGTTTAGCTTTTAGCCATTCAACCATGTTATGGTACATATTCTAGGATTCCAGTAGCATAGTGAGAACCACTGTTGTTAAATCATCCAGTTCATCAAGTTAAATATGTCCCTATGAGCTCTATATTTTATCATTGTAAGTTTGCATGATGGGTAATAGCATTCTTTGGTCACCTGACCTGCTGTGGTGTCACTTGAGGAAAATCAGTCCTCTATGGTGAAGTGATCCTAACACAATCTGTGATAATTTGGATCTCAATTAAGATCTAATCCAGTAATCCCAATAATCCTTTGATTATGAACCTCCATTTCCCCTCCAGCAAATTTATTCCAGGAAGTTGCTTTCTCTTTCATTGGAACCAGTTCATCGAGATCATCAGTTTCTCCTTTATCCTATGTGAACCTTGGAAATTCCATTTTTTGAAATAATGCATTATTGTTGTTAGGAGGAGACTTTTTCATCAGGTTCAACTGTAGTTAAAAGACGCACTGTAGTGTCAAGCTCCTCCTTCACAGAGTCCTAAATATATAGTCAATGTAAGTCCCCAGACTTGACCCCTCCATTACCCCGCAAGTTTCAACACCTGACCCCAATTCACCTGAAAGTTTCATCTTACCCCAACTCCCTTTGCTTCATGTGTTTTGTCATTTCTATCTGATGATATCCAATCAAATTGCTTGCCTTTCTACTCCTTCCTGGGATTTTCTCATATGGGCCATGTTCCTTTGCCATATTTAATTTCTTTCAAACCTGGTTTTGTGAGGTTCTTAAAGTGTCTTCTTCTTGTTTGTTTCAGCCATCATAATTCTAATATATGCTAAAAGTAAAAGGTACCCCATTTCTTTAAGATTTGTCTTTGAATATTCCTTGAATTTATCCTATTCCAAATCAATGATTTTGCCCCATTCCTGGTCCTGGTTCCGTACCAAAACTTATTCTTTCAAAATCCATGAATGATGATTTGTTGAGTGGTCTTTTTAGCAATTACATCCCAACTAAAACCTTTAAATCAACACAAAATGACAATCCAATCGGATTCTCTTTACATAACAGTGGTTCAAATGTGACATCATAAAAGATGAATTGCCATTAGTTAAGTATGCTACTATTAAATTATTCTACATTCTAAATTAAATTTCTTAATATGGGGGTTGCATTTTGGGCCACCTTATATTTGACAGTAGGATAGCAAGTAAACCATTCTCTGAAAAAGGCATACTGTACTTGGTGTCATCTTGAAGTGAGGTCTTACTTTGTCATGTCACACATCATGTTCTGTTTCAGCCTGTTCTGTTTCAGCCTGTTGTGTTTCAGCCTGTTGTGAACCAAATCCTAACCAGGAAAATAACTGTCACCTTGTACAATAACACAAAACTTTTGATTTTCTATGTTCTACATGGTGTCAATAAAGTACTTGTACAAGTATTTAACATTGACACTCATGTACATGTATCTATTTGGCTTCAGCTTAAATGTTTGCCCAACATAATTAAAAATGTACTAGTCAGAATAGAATATATCAAGTTCTCACAAATGGAAATTCTTAAAATTTAAATAAGAACCAGAAATGGGAACAAATGATCAAAAATGAGGCTTGAAATCTGACATTTTAGGGTTGAAGTTATTTGCTTTTGCCAATAGTTAAGAAACCCTCATATATTTGAACAATGTTCCAGTTTTATTCAAATGTTTTGACCTGAATGTGTGTGTTGTTTTTATGCATGCTGGCATTGTATTTGAAAAATATATGACATTAAAACTTGCCAACATTTTATAAAGATTTTTTAACTGCAAAATAAGATGTGGTATAACTAGGTTTACCCATATGAGTAATAATGAGAAATGACTAGATTTTGAAAATGAATAAGACATTGACCAGGGATTGTAATAATTGTTGTGATGTAACTTTCTATCTTTTCTTCACTTTTTGGAACAAAAATGGTCAGGAATAACTTTTATTAAATAATCATATATTTTATAGTGTCTCATTATTTTGTGTTACTATGGTGATTTATTTCTTGTTTCCAGGGCAACAGCAGTTACAGTAGTTATGGATACCACAAATCTTCATCATCTTCATCATTACGAGACTACAGCTCAGTTCTGAATAGATCTACTTCATCCGACATGCTCGACGATGAAGAAGAAGAGTAGACTCTAGTGACATCTATATATAGCTTAAGAACATATTATCTAATTAACATTATTTTACTGTTACGTATGTGTTATACATACAAATAGAGACAGTCAATCAGCACATAGAAACCTTACACAATGATGTGTTCATAGCCGCCCATGGTTAGAAAACCTTAGAGAGACATGTGTGCTAATAACAATGTTTTTATACGGCAATAACCTAATATATATACATCAGCATAGTGAGTTTATCCTCCATGTTTGTTTTGTAACTGCTGTTACCGTCGAAACTCTTAACAGGGGATCTGATGAAAAACTACGGACTTTTAAGCAAGAAAATGGACGTCGATTCTACAGCCGATCATGTTATTTAAAAAATGAACAAAAAAATGAACGAATGAATGTCAGTATTTTACCTGTGCAACATATGTGCGAGGATTTGATTTAGACTTTAGTGTATGTGGAACATTGTTTGAATGTTTTCATTCCTTAATGACCCGAAGTGGTCTATTGTAGTGAACCCAATGCCCATTCATAGAAAGGTTGTGGCCTGACGGGTTGTCGTGATATTGTGTAGAAACATCACCTATTGGACGATGATATTTTCATCACTGCCAGCTTTATAAAGCTAATGTTATGTTAACATATGACTCAATAAAGTTACTATTTGCTGTCAATTTATAAACCAAAACTCAAATATTCTGTCCATTGTGTGCTAGGGAAAATTGCCTTATATATGAATACAAGAATGAAGTTTTTAAAGTTTTCATGGAACCAGTACACACCCATCAACTTGTAAATCTGCCCTTCGAGAATTAGACTAAAAGTCCAATCCTTGTCAGAAATTACCCACATAAAAAGTGACTCAATTTGGAAGTTGACTGAAGTACTTGATTTATTCATCTAGTTCTATAACATCATATTTGACATCCTTCATATAATATTTGACTCAGACCTCATTCAGTTTGAGATGGACAAGATATTATTCCAGTTTTCTAAACAAGTATATATCTCATCAAAGCCAATTAATGTCATCACCTTCCATCTATTATAGATACCGAACACCATCCACAAAAAAGTTGAAGGCTATAACACTTTGATGGAAACATAAAAATATGTACTCTCTCCCTTGGTTGTGACATTGACCCTCATGAGACAAACTGTATAAAATCCTTTTTATAAATCCATGCTCCTATTAAGTGAGATTAATGGTTAAAGTCTCCCAATCAGAAGAAATATCAATGACAATTACGTTTTTATGTCAACACCTAATAGTGGTGACATATTGTTGGTCTTCAAATTTTAGTTCGGGACAGATTTCCTTTATAAAGTTAGAATTTTGGAAGATAGGCCTTGCTATAATTCTACAATAGGAATAAATCTGGGAAAAATGAATGGCTTTAATATCTCTAATTCTAGCTTTATGCTCATTCAACCATCCTGGCCTTGAAACAACTTTGATCTTGAAATATTTTGTAAAACAGAGTTTCCAAAACATGCTTCATACTGCTACAAAGTCTCTACATTCCAAGATGAAAATAGTACAATGTTGATATCCAAGATTATACTTGTATTTCTAAGTACTCATATAATCTAGAAATGATGATATTGGCAGAGTATAGGCATTTCACACAGATATTTGATGAAACTTGAAAAATCAGCTTTGAATTTAAAAATACCAGATACAGACAAGATACAAACAAGGCATTAACATGACAAAATGTCACCACCTAAAACAATTTGGTCAATTTAAAGCAAGTTGGAAAATACCTTTTGACCTTAAGAAGAACTTCTGAGAACATGTAGATGATTTTGAAAATTTTTTTTTGTCAATTTGAAGCAAGTTGAAAAAAGACCTTTTTGACCTTTTTTGACTTTGAGAAGGTCATTGAAGGTCAAATGTCATATCTTAAGTCAAATCTAAAGTCAGATTTGAATTTCTGAGAACACGTAGATGATTTGAAATTTTTTTTTAGTCAATTTGAAGCAAGTTGAAAACAGACCTTTTTGACCTTTTTTGACCTTGAGAAGGTCAGATTTGAAGGTCAAATGTCAAATCTTAAGTCAGATTTGAATTTCTGAGAACACGTAGATGATTTTGAAAAAGAAATTTGGTAAATTTGAAGCAAGTTGAAAACAGACCTTTTTGACCTTTTTTGACCTTGAGAAGGTCATTGAAGGTCAAATGTCAAATCTAAAGTCAGATTTGAAAGTCAAATGTCAAATCTAAAGTCAGATTTGAATTTCTGAGAACATGTAGATGATTTTGAAAAAAAAATTAGTCAATGTGAAGCAAGTTGAAAAAAGACCTTTTTGACCTTGAGAAGGTCATTGAAGGTCAAATGTCAAATCTTAAGTCAGATTTGAATTTCTGAGAACACGTTGATGATTTTGAAAAAAAAATTTAGTCAATTTGAAGCAAGTTGAAAACAGACCTTTTTGACCTTTTTTGACCTTGAGAAGGTCATTGAAGGTCAAATGTCAAATCTAAAGTCAGATTTGAAGGTCAAATGTCAAATCTAAAGTCAGATTTGAATTTCTGAGAACATGTAGATGATTTTGAAAAAAAATTTAGTCAATGTGAAGCAAGTTGAAAAAAGACCTTTTTGACCTTGAGAAGGTCATTGAAGGTCAAATGTCAAATCTAAAGTCAGATTTGAACTTCTGAGAAGATGTAGATGATTTAGAAAAAAATTGAAGTCAGTCTAAACAGTATTTGTTAAGTTATAGGAAGTTGTAAGAAATTGTTACAGACGCCGGACGCCGGACGCCAGACGCCGGACGCCGGACGCCAACCACCAACCGCCGTCGCAAAAAAACGGAGACCATAACAATATGTCACCTCTTTTTGGTGGTGACATAATAAAACAAAAAATGAATGATAGCCTTCAAAAAAGGTTTTGTATATTTTATCATAACTAAAATATGGCGTGATTTATTGGTTGTTGCAATGGCTTTAAATGGGGATAGATGATCTTATAAACGTGTATGTTGCAATTTTCTTTTCATCAACTTTGCCACTCATCCAACAAAATAAGATATTTCAAAAAATATATTTTATATTTATTATTTTCAGTCCTATGATACCAAATTATTATTAACAATATAATATATACAAACATAAACATGTTGATGCATCACAAATCTTATGTTCTATATACACTACTAGAACCCTCACCATTCTCAGTCCTCACCAGTATTGTTGAATATAGCAACCACTCGAGAATTTTAAAGTGCACCCAGTTGAAATCAAAATTATCAGTTTCAAAAATCACAGAATAAGTAACTGTTTTACCAGGTTTGAACATTTTTCATTATAATTAGTATTTTTAGTGAAAAAAACTGGGGAGAAGTGACAGCAGTTTGTAACAGTATGACTGGCACCTTCTATAACATGTCTACACCTTAAAGTTGGATAAATGCAACATTGTTAATGCAGTATTACAATACTGTATGAACAAGAAATACTGGAAGTAAGGGGGGGGGGGGTGTAAAAGGGGGTGTAAAGGGGAGAAGGGTTACAAGGGCTTAAAACAAGACTAGATGAACGAAGTTGAAAAAGCTCATCTTACAAACAGATTTCCATTATCAACCAAAATAACATCTGTCTTACAGTGATACCTTAGGTTGATTCTAAAAGGTTGATGGATTCCATAATGCTGCTATGGTTGAATGATATCTTAATATCCCTAATGGTAGAAGCAGTACAAAAACAGCATTTAAGAGCATGGGGAAACAATGTTGAGAGCCACATATACAATTGACCTTCCAATGTATTATAAAAGAAGCCCAATGTGTCAACAACTACTGTAAGTGGAGTCAAAATTAAAGATAGTTCTGCATTTTGTAAATTGTAAATGTTCTGAAATATTGAAAATATTGGAAAATGTCATTCAATGTAATTTTAACCAGAACAACGGCAACGCCAAAGCGTAGCGAATCCCATCGAACAGAAACCACCCAAAATTTCATAAGACAGTATGCAATCCTTATGAATATTCACAAATCAAATATGAACAAAATCGCTCTACTACTTTTTAAGTTATATTAAAAAATGTAAAATAACACACGTAAAAAAATGGCGGCCATTTTTCAAAATGGCCGCCTACTACCCAAAATGTCATTAGACATTGTGCCATGCTTAAAGTATTCACATACCAAATATGAACAAAATCGCTACACTACTTTTTGACTAACAGTAAACACAACGAGAAACACTATATAATAAACATCAATACGACGAGATAATAGATTTATTATCCAAATTGAATAATAACTGATAAGATCATGTACTGTTGAATAACATTCTGCCCGGGATTTGTTATTAATCATATAGAAATGTCTTATCCGAACAGCAGCTTACGTATTATCCGTTGCGGCCATTAACAATTTTACATATCTAATTAGCTAAGTAAATAAACATGCGTCGACACAGTCGCAGTTGACTATGAGAGTTCAATCATCAATCTTATTTTTATTTTCTTGATTTAAAGATTTATTATGTTTAAAAAAGAAAATGTTTGATTTTTAAGTTCAACCTTTAATTCTTATTATCAAGAACGCGCATGCAAATTCGCAAACCATGTACATTGTTTGCAGTCTGCGCAAGTTAATGTAAATCATTGTATAGTTTTCGATATACTGTAATACTATTCATTATTTGTAAAATTGAACCGAATATAATCTAAAATTAATCAGCTTTAAAAACATTATATGTCATAAAAGTTGCCTTAAAACAATACGATTCGTGCGTTTGTAAATGCTCTAAAGCCCCGCTAGTATATGAACGAATCCTAAATAGAAATGAGTAAAATTCGTTCCCATTAGTGTGTACACGTTCTACACCGAGACTTCTCCTTTAAATCAAATCAGTCCACTAGTATGAGTTAAGAATGGACAGAGGGACTGATGGCTTCATTCAATGGGATAATTAAGATATTTCAAAACCAGTAGTGTCATTCTTCTATGCATACATCACTCCAATCATAACATAAAACAATCTGTTTATTTTAAAACTATTCTTTACGAATTTATGATAAGTGTATAATGTTCAATCATACAAATCGCAGTCAGTGATTGTTCTCCACACTCACCCCTCCCCCTTCCTGACATGAACTATTTTGTAAAACCATTGACAGTGTGGAAAGGATTCTTACACTCGAGTGTCAAGGGGCAGTTACAGAAATATACAAGGCGATGGTTCAAATTGGACAATTTTCAAAACTGCTCAACATGGTGAAAACTTCACGTTTTTAAAGAATGCTTGCCCGGCGAGTGGTTTGCTCTGGATTGCGAGAGAACAAAAACTTTGAGTTAGGATTTTTCCTAATACTATCATTAATCTAAACAACTTTTTAAACCGTCTCTGACTACATATCATGCCAATTAATACCATTATTGTGTTGACAGGATTAAATATGATATCTATGGAATTATAATTAATGAACTCAATAGTCTAAATGATAATAAGTTCATAATTTTATTTAGTCTTGGCTGACTAGTCTTGCATCATCAGAGTTGGATTGCAAATACCTCCCTAAATCAAATATTTAAAATTTACAAATTTACTAGTGTACGGGGTGGGGAAACAAGTCTCCATTCAAACACTAAATAGGAAGAAAGATTTCAGTACCCCTTAACTTCACTCCCGGACTTCACTATTCACCACCACCCCTCCCCCTTCCCCAAGTA